AGAATTTATTGGGCACGTGCTATGCGCTCAACACTGAGTATGTATTTTGCCAAATCTAAGCCATCACTAACCTACAAAATGAATGGTGTCCCCATTCTGTAGGAAGCCTGAGAAAGGTCGTGTGTACAGTGGGTAGGTGCTGAGAACAGAGCCCTGATCGATGCCACCTCCTTTGCAAACTCATTTGATGACGGCGTCCAATGTGCAACTGAGTTACCATGTTGCAAACATGACCCAACCCTGATACCCGAGCAAGAATTCACACCAAGTAACTCCTGGCAACCTGGCAGCATTCTTGGCATTCATTTTAGTGTGGGTGTGACTACCACTGGTCCTGCCTAAAGGCAAAGGCTGTCATTCTTGGCCTTTGGAGTGTTATATGTAGTGGTGGCTGGTAGAGGGACAATCTTTAGGCAGATGTCAGAGCTTTAAACATTGTAGTTATATGTCTGTTCTGCTTGCCCTACTACTTTATTTCTTACTTTCCGAAGTCTTAAAACTAATGAAATATTCACTTAAGGCTCAATTTATCAAGACACCGGGGGGTAATAAAAACCTGTGCACAGCAAAACTCGGTGTCCCAGCAGGGGGTATGCATGCGTGTATCTCTGTAACCTTGCAAGTAGGTGAGAGCGGCTGCTCCTTGAGTTTATCTGAGACAGGCACATGCTTAAAGTCTGGTTCTAAGAGCCCCGAGGTTCCCACCTCTGGGAAGGTTCCTTCCCCCCACGTCGCCAAATCCTTCTACAGAGACACAGAAAAGGGACGTTCTGACTGAGGACCTAGCCCAGTCCTGTCTCAGGAATCCAGGGGCCGCATGGTTAAGATCATCAGTCCCTATTGCTTTATATGGTTTTAAAAAGTCATTGTCCTCCATTCTGCTGAGAAGTGCTTGGGGGCAGGAAGCAGTGGGGGAGGTAAGCATTAGCCTAAGGTTGGGGCCTGGCTTTCATCACTGGCATGTCTGTGGCACTTTTCCCCTCTGCACCCTGAATTCCTACTCTGTACAATAGGGAGAAGGAAGACCCAGTACCCTTCACAGTTGTGCTAACCAATGACCACAGAGAAAAAGTGCAAAGTACCACTGATGCGTTTAAGATGTTTATAACAAACTTAGATCGCAATGGCTCAAAGAGGAGACTGCTCAGATGGCCTTTATGGCCATCTGCCTGCACTCTTGAAAGCTCTGGGCACAGGATTACAATCTCAAATGTTTTCTGTCCTACGCTCAATTTTCTCTAAATTAGGTCAGTGGGAAATAGCATCGGCTTGCGTGCACTGTCCTTGTCCCCCACGAGGTGGCGCTGCTTCCCAATTAGCAATTTCTTTTGGCGCGAGGCTGGCTGAGACCTTTCACAGCGGATGAAGAGGAAGTTGGAGCTGTTAAGAGGGAAAAAGAAACACGATGAAGAACAACCCAGGCGGGCCACCTCGCTCCACCCCTGCCCCTAGATTTCAGTAGCAAAACAGGATCTCCAGGTTAAGAGTGCTGGTGACTGAGGCCTGCAGTCGCTGCAGAAGAGTTGTGGCTGCAGGAAGGGTCTTTGATGCCCCCACTGTAATGTGTCTCTTCCCAGAGCAGGAGAGAGGAAGGAAGCCTAAAGCCGCTGTGCTTCCAAGGTGGACAGACATTTGCACAGAGTTCGGGCACTGTGTCTAGAGAGGGCTCACGTTTTTCACAAGAGGGATGATGGGAGGTTGACCTTAAGAATCCAATGTGCTGAGAAAGGACGGTCATGTGAGGGTCGAGGGTGCTGCCTGGGCTCAGACCTGCCTATTCCCATCGGAACCCAGGGCCCTTCCTTCTCTAACAGCTACCCCCCAACTCCCACCCCAGAGAAGGAAGGTCTGGAGTGCAGCGACGACGGGGTTTGAAGTCAGAGCACCCCCTCTCTGGCTGCTTCCCCCACCTCCTGTCTCTAAAAATAAATGGGTCCTTTTGGAGGTGGACAGGGTGGAGGAAGTCAGCATTTTTTCTTGAGATAAAAGGATAGGAAGGCTATGGGGCTGAACTATCAAAATCTCGGCTTGCCTCCATCTGGTTTCACTGCCTGAACCTTGGGATGGTTTTGTGATCAGTATGGAGAATGGAAAAGAGGTGTCTTCCAAGCTCAAATGGATGATGCTCATGAGTGCTAGATGCTACCTGTTTAAAAAAAAAAAAAAAATTTTACACGGTGCTTTAATGTTTTTAGAACTGTCTCCAAAAAGATTGATATTTAGCACTTACATAAAACATTAAACGTGGGTTTGCCTTGTAATGAGCTTATTCTATTTTAATACTGAAAAATCAGGACTGCGGGACTGAGCCCATGTATAGTTAGCCCATCGCTGCCATTAATTGGGAAGCTCTCCAACTAGACTTAATTTCTGAGGACCAGGGATATGTTCTATCTTTTTTCAGTGGGAAGAGCTGAAATAATCAACCTTAATATAACGAAGAACCAATTGCTAGTTTCCTCACCACCCAGAGAACCACTGCCTTCACTCTCAGGCCTAATCCTCTTCCACATGTGCTGTCTCTTGAACCAGAATCACAGTCCTCAAAACGGGCAGGTTTAGGGGTGCAGAATCATCAAAATTTAATTCAACAAACATTTGAGTGCCTTCCTGGTGCTTTTTCTTTTTTAAAAAATAATAGATTTTTATTGATTTCAAAGAAAGGGAGAGAGAGAGAGAAACATCAATGATGAGAATCACAGACCAGCTGCCTTCTACACACCCTCTGAGGAGCGAGCCTGGGGCATGTGCCCTGACCGGGCATCAAACCGCGACCTGGTTCATGGGTGGACACTTAACCACTGCGCCAACACTGGCTGGGCCTGTTGCTTTTTCATTCGTTAAGTTGGACCTTTCCCATTTATTATTTCATTCTATCTTCATAGCCATAATTTAAAATAAACAATCACATTTTATATTTATGAAGTTCAGAGGCTCAAGTTTCTTTCCACTTGTCTCTTCCATCTCCCCTTCCTTCCTGGCTGCCTCACCCTAACCAGCCTCTGAACTTCCAGGCTTTCTTTAAGCTCAGCCATCCACCAGTTTCCTTAAAAACTACTATCAGCATATTTTTCCTCTATTTAAAACTTGGTAACTCCCAATTTCTCATTCAGTCAACTGCAAAATCTCCAGTCTAAGTCTGTTCTGTTGAACCATAAATCTCTTAACTCCTTCAAAATGTTCCCTTGAGCCCAGCCTGTGAGGCTCAGTTGGCTGAGCATCGTCCCATCACCGGGAGGATGAGTCCAGGTCCATTCCTGGGTTTCCAGCTCCATCCCCAGTACAGGGAGTGCAGGAAGCAGCTCAGTGATGTTTCTCCCATCAATGTCTCTCTCTCTTCTTCCTTTCTCTGAAATCAATTAAAAAATACATTTAAAAACTGTTCCCTTGACTACAATTGCCGTCTCCTCCTCCCACCTCCCAATGACACAACTCTGCCACTTCTAGTCTGTGCCTTCTCTTCTTTACATTCTCTCAAGAGTGCCACACACACACACACACACACACACACACACACACACACACACAGCAACCCCTAAACCTGCCCGTACTGTTAGGCTCTGCACACTCACCTGCTCCTCGGAGCCTGATACAAATGCATGCAGGTCACACTGTGTCCTCCCTTGCCAGCCTTCCAGGCACTATCACTGTATCATTTTGGGAGAGTGTCCAGTGATAGGGACTGAGGGACCAGTCCACCACTGGTGTGAGTGCAAACCTTTTGGAAAGCGGTATGGCACATATTACAATATATATATTTAATATATATTTATATCCCCCCCCCCCCCCCCCACCGCCACCATGCAACAGAACCTTGTAGTTAGTAAAAATGGCTGCACTGCAGGAATGCAATGTCAGGACTGTAAAATCAGATGAGCTGAGACAGTCACAGAACCCCAGGGCACCCTATAAAACCCAACATATTTAAGGGATGAGGATGTAAAATGTAGTAAGTATAAAACTTATAGTAGTGGTCAACTTCTACAGTGGGGAAAGGAGGGGGAAGGGATGGGACACAGGTAACACTATAGGACAGCTGTCGCCAACCAGTGGTCTGCGAGGTCCGAAAGGTTGGCAACCGCTGGTTTAAGAAAACCTTTGGACCAGCGGTCGCCAACTGGTGGTCCACGGACCACCGGTGGTCCGTGAGGTCCGAAAGGTTGGCAACCGCTGCTGTAGGAGACCTGCGCTCTAACTTAGAGGTGGTTCCTAACTTTATAGGTTACTCCTAGGTACACACTTGCTGCCGATAGGGGAAAGTTGGTGCACTGCAAGCCATCAAACCCCTGCCCACTGGGGACAGAGGGGACGTATATTAGATGGCTCCAGACAAGCATATCCTGAGGAACAACCTGAGGGGCCTGGGCCGAGCGACATCAGTCATTGCCAGGGGACATGAATGATCTACAGATGCTTGGAGTGCTCCCCATAATATCTCATAAATTATTGAGTGTATAAAAACAGACCTGAGACTGCATTATAGAAGACGTGACCAATGAAATAAAGACATTCAGTACTGTACCAAGAGAGCTGCCAGGAAAACACAATCAAATTAGTAAATCTGAGAAAGCAAATGAGGTCCTCTACACTCTCAGTGAGAAGGCCTGAGCCAGGGGCATAGCTCCAGGGAGACAAGGACTCTGTCCTGGCCACCACACAGCACACGGTGCATGGTCAGCACAGAAACGCAGTCTCACTGGGGGGTAGGGGAGGCCAGGGGATTGTCAAGGGCGGGGAAAAAAAAAAAAAGGACACATATGTAATACCCTTTGTAATACTTTAAGCAATAAAAAAAAAAAAAAGAAACGCAGTCTCTTCCTTTAGTGGTCAGGCTGCTTGGGGGATACTGAAGAAAGTACAGGTGGTAAATAACGTGGGATTCACTGCCCACATTGCAGGGAAATAGCAGGTTGATTCTTTAAAAAGAAAAAAATTATAATGTATGATGTTCTCCTATCTTTCACTTTTACAAAATTGGTAATAAAGCACAATTCTTAAGCTGCTTTTCATTTTTTTATTGCTGTTAATTCAAGGAAAAAAGGTTGCATAAAATCCAATCTGTTCTAGAAATATAAGTGGCCTTTCCAGTACATAACATTTCAAATATCAAAGTATATGGTAAACATACAAATAAGGAGAAGGCAACACACCTCCTATGTACAGTACAGTATTTAAAATCATAAAATAAGCTCCATAAAGTACAACTGGCGAGTGATTCACAACGCGGTCCATACGTGGCTTATCAAAACTCTCACTTGAACAACTCAACTGTAGCTTAACAATTAATTTAATAATGTGGTCCAAAATACCCAGATCAAATAAAATATAATTAATCAAAATAATTTCCTTTACTCAAACTTTTTCTTCTTTTTAAATTAAAGCTTTCATCTATCCCTTCATACCCGTCCCTCCCCCTTTAATCCCCACCCCTGAAATAAAGTTTCAAAATGTACATTGGTGCTATAAATAGAAATGATATCTAGGAAGCATTGGATGAAGCTTCTTTTTCTTCAAGTTTTTCCTCTTGTCTAGCAATCTGTTCGGCTTCTGAAGCAAGACCAGGTTCCTTGCTGCGCACCAATGTTGCCTTGCACAACAGAAGCCTTTTGTGTCTGCTCTGTGCTGAGGGACAGGAACAGACCCAAACCCCTTACTCATGACCATACAGCGGCAGGTGCTCATTGCCGTTGAATGCAGCAGTCCACAAACACACCCAATCTCCAGATAACCTCAGTGCACTTTAGGAAATCAAATATTACCTGGAAGCAGTTTAGTACAGAGATTGGCTTTTAAAAAAATCTTTTTTTTTTAAACAGCAGCATTAAACTTAGTGACATGACACCGACATGATTAATACCATCTTAACACACTCCAAATTCAGTCTTTCACATTATAATCAAGCACAGTGGTAAACTGGTATAAAAGTGACTTTGCTACGAGAGACAGATTAGGAACAAATACCTGACTTTTGCAGAAATGCAGAGCTTCTGTTCAGACTGCAATAAACCACACACATTTCAACACAACAGAACACTGTAACAGTTGGTGGAGGAAAAGAAGCGATCTTCGCTCAGGTAGTGTCTCAGCAGGACACATGGTAGACTACAAGTAAACTAGGCTGTCGACTGCCATTGCCAACACAAACACGGAGGACAGTATTCACACTAGTTTGTTCACTTTATGTCTCTCTGAGCAACAGGCTACAAAAGTATGATGAAGTAAAAAGTTGTTTGTTTGTAAGAAAAAGCTCTTTGTCCACTTCATACATCATATTTTTTCAGTTTCATATGGTTTCACTTCTTCCACTTATTTTAACTTTTATTTGGAAAACAAGTGCTGCATGTATGTATTTATGTGGTGCTGATTTCTCCCCTATGATGAAGGTGAAACAGTTTACCCTCAATTCATGTGTAGAGCAGTTTACAGAAGTGTGGGCCAAAGCACCGTCCGCCCCATGCAGCGTGCCACTGGAACACGGGGGTGGGGGGGAGAAAGGTGTGCTTTAGGATGAAAGTGAGAAAAGCTGGGGAAGAAGCAAAGTATTTTTCAAAACCATACGACTGTCACTAGTGTTGTAAAAAAAACAAAAAAGGTCAGATACACAGTTTTAGAAATTCAGTAAACATTACACACAGCAAGGATTCAGTGTAAAGAAAAAACCACGCATCCATTTTCCTTTTGATAGTCTGTTTGGATGTTTAACATGAATCATACAAATAAGCCTGTTGTTGAACCAGGAGACCAGAGGCTCAAAAGCAATGCATTCTTTTTTTTTGTTTTGGACATCAGTACAGGAGAAAACGAAAAACCCCAACTGCGTAGACATCTCAGAAATGTACAGACAAAAAAACACAAACAAAATACCTTTCCTTTCCTCCCCTCCACACCCCACCATGACTCCCCACACTTCAGTGTGTTAGGTAGGTAGGCAAGCTTTACTCGGTTCAGTCTGCAGAGTCCAACGTGTCATTAGAAGGGGGGAGGGGAGGTGCGTATCTCAGTCTGTAAGTGCCTAAAACGGGAAAGAGAACTGCTAAGTCACTGCTCACAACGCAACGCATCACAACCACTACAAGCTATCAAACGGGCATGCTCGGCAGAAGGCATCTTCCGCACTACCACGATTCCAAAACGGTCAATAAAATGACTTTCTAAAAGTAATATAAGTTCTACCTTAAGCTATCAAACTTCAGCTTCCTTTAAAAATGCCAAGTATATACTCCCAATTCAAGACTCTATTACTGGGTGATGTCTGGCAAAATGACAAAAGCCAAATGCAAGTGAAAGATAAGGGTTTGAGGTGTATATGGAATTTGCATTTTACTCATACTTATTTAAGAACATTTTCTTAGTTTTTTAGTGGTAATAATATTCAATTTAGTTCGAATTCCCTTACTCCCAAACCAGTGCTTAAAATATTTTGTTCCTTAAAATGCAATAGCATTTTATTTAAAACACCTACTGGGCAGGAAAAGAGCATGGGCAATACACTGAGCACAGACTGGCTAGCTATGCAGCTATACTAAAATAACAACTACAAATCTTACATGGCAGATGACTCTATTTCGTCCTAGTTTTCTAATATTTAAAAATTTGCTTACTTTATGAAAGAGGATTGTAGCTTTAAAAAAAGTGCTGCAAACCAGAGATTTGACATTCTATTGGCAAATTCCCATTATATTCTTTAAAAAGTGCCTTTTTGGTTTCTTTCTTGCTTGGGAACTGAACTGCTCTGAACTTCCTGGTGCTGTATGACCTGAGTCTACATTAGGCTCTGCTATCTGCACTTTGCAACTCATCACATCCGTAAACACACACACAATGACGACTTTCAACAGGATCCCCGTGACCAGTAAGGTGGGGAGACACCGGCACACTAAAAGCAAGTCCTCTGGGAGCTCTCATGATTACCTTGTTGACTGGCCTCCATGGACGACTGCTTACACTCCTGTGCAAAGTGTCCGCTTACACCACAGTTGTAACATGAAACACTCCCATTCTTCTTGGGCCCCGAACCACTCGTGTTGGCAACTACACTGGGTGCTGCATATACGGGATAGTATCTCCCAAATCCTGCCACCTGCTGCAGGCCATAGCTGGCTTGGTTCCCCATGACAGGGTCATGCACCAGTCCATTTGCATATGGTGTCGGAGGCAGAAAGAAAGGAAGTTGGTTTCCATTGCTCTGATGTGCTTGGTTGAGGTAGCTGCCATTGCAGAGGGATGGCAGAGGGAAGAACGGGAGTCGGTACACAGGTCCTGGCATTGGGTTAGGATAATAGTAACTATTTAGCTGAAGGTTTCCATTGGTCCCACAGCTGCACCTTCGCCCACAAGAACCACAAGGACCTGAGCCCACCTGCTGCGGCGGCAACACTGTCCCATTAGCGTTCGTGTTTCCCACAGCACTGATGTAAGAGGTGCTGTCGCTCTGTGCAGTACTGTGTGTCAGAGCAGGGCTTGGGCTGGGGGCGGGGCCTGGGGTGTGGGTAGGAACCGCAGGAGGGACTGCAGACTGGGCCTGACTCATGCCGGCTCCCGCGGACTGGGTGGAGGTGGACGCTGTGCTGAGCACACTGGAATTCTGGCTGGCTAACACACTGGCAGCGAGGGGAGAGCCCGGGAGGGTGTAGGGAGCTGGTGGCTGTGCAGCTGAGAGGCCAGCTGCTGAAAGAACTACCTTCACATTGGTAGGCTGAGGGACTGTCCCTGTGTTTCCCTCAATTTGAGGCACCATTTGATTGAGTCCTACCACTTGGGATGCAGATTTGGTGATGGGGTCCGTGGCAGCACCAAGAGATCCTGGGAAACTGCCCGGATTATGGACAGGAATGAAGGCTGTGTTTGGTGATCCGATGCTCAGACTCCCAGCTGGCTGCTGAGGGACGTTCAACGGGCAGCTCTCGGAAGATCCCTGCGGCGGTGGCAGCTTCAGCCTCTGAATCGTTAGGTGCAAAGCAGGAGTACTGCTATGAGGAAGGAACGCTGATGGAAGAGGCAGAGGGGAAGCCAGCAGTTCCAGGTGCTTTTCTGATTCACCAGCAGCAGCTGCTGGTCCTAATATCCCAACAGGGGTCGCACTGGTGGACTCCCTAATTGCAGAAATAGCAACAGGACTCGGAACAAGCATGCCTATTGTTTTGCCATCAGCAGATTTGGGGGGAGGAACGACAACTTCAGACTTCTGGGCAACGTGGTGCATGACACAGTGTAAAGTTGGCATAAAAGAAATATGCTGATACTTGGGTGAGTTTAAGGGATCGTCTAAAAGGCTTCCGTTGTCGTTTCCTAAGGAGGCCATTTCCACAGGTGGCTGGACAGTGACAGCCTGGTTGACAGAGCTGTAAGTTGTAAACCTGGTTGCCAATGGATTCCCAGAATCGTCAGAATTGCTGTCTGTGTCTGAGGGAAACAAATAGAAATACATGTTAACACAAATGTTAACTCCCATCTCTCTTGCTGGAAACAAATTTTCAGTCCACCTAAAATGAACTTTGAAGTTTGGAACTGGAGGAAACGTGTCCCCTAAGCTTCCTAACAGCCAAACTGACCCTCTATTAATTTTTGGCTTTCTACGAACTTTATTTAAAAAACATAGAGATTTTTTTTTAAAAATAGAGATTCTGGAAAATGTGGAGACAACAGAAAGATCAGTGGCTGCCAGGGGTGGCAAGTGGGGGAGAGATGACTAGGAGGAACATAGATTTTTAGGCAGTGAAACACTTTTCTGAGCTACTGTAATGATAGACCATGTCATTAATCATTTATCCAAAGCCATTGAAAGTATGTCATCAAGAGTGAACTCTCAGCCCTGGCCGGTGTGGCTTAGTGGATAGAGCATCAGCCCGAACACTGGAGAGTCATGGGCTCAATCCCCTGACTGGGGGAGTGTGCAGGAGGCAACCAATCAATGTGTTTCTCTCACATCAATGTTTCTCCCCACCCCTCTAAAAAAAACCAAAAAACAAAAAACAATGGAAAAAATATCCTCTGGTGAGGATTAACAACAACAAAAAAAGTGAACTCTCAGGTAAACTATGGACTTTGGTCGATAACACTGTATCAATGTAGGTTCATTCTTGGTAAAAATAAACAAACTATTCTAGTGAGTTATGTTGAAAATGGGGGAGGTTATACATGTGTGGGAGGAACAGGGTAGATGGGAAATCTCTGTACTTTCCTCTCAATTTTATTGTAAATCTAAAATTGCTCTAAAAAAATAATGTCTTTAATAAAAAAAAAAGTCAATGGATAAAGCAACAAAAGGTTAATTGGAGACTGAATGACGCACAGTGCAAAATACAGAGATTTATTTAATATCACCTTATTACTGAGAAAAGGATTATATATATATATATATATATATATATATATATATATATATATATATATTTAAATATATTTTATTGATTTTTTACAGAGAGGAAGGGAGAGAGATAGAGAGTTAGAAACATCGATGAGAGAGAAACATCGATCAGCTGCCTCCTGCACATCTCCTACCGGGGATATGCCCGCAACCCAGGTACATGCCCTCGACCGGAATCGAACCTGGGACCCTTCAGTCCGCAGGCCGACGCTCTATCCACTGAGCCAAACCGGTTTCGGCAGGATTATATATTTTTAACTTTAATCAATTTTAGGCAATTCACCTGATTTATATTCTGTATTGCCAAACCCAAAGTCTTTCTGTCTCACAAAAATAATTCCATTTAAAGGAGCCCAAATAAGACTGTATTTAACTCAAATATGTAGAGGTAGGGAATATAAGAGTTTTTTTCAGAATTCAATACATATTCTTACTTTTATATATTTCAGTGGGGTAAAGAAAATTTAAAGCTTTTATTAGAGTCATCAAGCAAATATGCTAGAACACAGGAAGCAGGGCAGGCACGAGAGCACTGCCTCTTCCTGAGAGCAAAACGACATAGACAGAGACAAAATTAAGCTGCACTGGTTTTTATTACTATATCATACTTATGCTTGCATACAAAAATAACTTCAATCCAGACTTCTCCTGGATTTCCTGACTTTTGGTATGAAGAGGGCAAAAGATAAAATCTAATTCACAATGTTTAAATATCATAAAGCCAGATACTGCAATAATATGTACAGAGACTATGCAATTAACATCTCTCTGCTAATAAATAAGCAGAACTGTAGTACTTAAATGTTTATATTTATTAAGACCAAAACTAGTTATACTGAGCTAAGATGTTAAAAATGTTTTTAAACAATACACTAAAAACAAATCATACAAGTCTTCCTGGAAAATGGCTAAACAGAACCTACTCAGTGACAGAATATCACGGTGTTATTAATTCAACTATGATAATTTACATCAGAGGGAAGAGATTCAATTTAGGAGTAAATGGTTCTAGCATAAATTCCCCTTAAAACTAAAGTGTTTATTGCTAAACTTTACAAAACAAAAAGTATCCAAAAATTAATAACTTATTTAGGGCAATTATATCTATATCTGTACCATCATTATAAGTACAGAATTAAAGAAACACTTAAGTCCAAAAATAAAAAAGGGCTGCAACACTTTTCAGATGGTCAATTAAATTTCTATATAAACTGTTTTTTGTTTTTTTCAAATTATAAGAAAGAGTTTATTTAGAAAGTTACAGAGGTAGTAGAAGTGAGCCAGCTGGGCTGTGTAGGCTCAGGAAACAAGTTACAGAAGCAAAAGGAGGGTGGTGCTTGGAGCTTAGGAGAGGGAAAGGTGATGGCCTGGGGGAAGAAGTGAAGGACTGAGAGGCCTGGGCATGCTCCCAAGAGAAGAGTGCATTTAAATCTTAAGTCACAGCAAATGGACCCATGATTTTAAATGGTCTTAAATGATTTTCTGGGCATTGTAAAGGCTCATCTAACTGTAGAGAGATAGGTCTCATCCTTTTTTGTGTGTTGATTTTGAAAAGTACAGTCTCAAAACAATACCCCATTAGGAACAATAAGAACAACCACCAAGCCACATGCTTTTCAAAGAAGCCTTTTCATGCCCTTAAAATCAAGGCTTTTAAAAAAATAAATCATAGTGGATATTCACCCCCTGCAGGTTTAGAGAGTCCCAAGTAAGTTTTCATTTACAGAAGGCTCATTTAGTCACTGATAACTGAGCCTATCCAAAAAAGGGCAAGTTCCTCTATACAGGCCACCAACTCATCCTAAAGATGACAAAAAAGGGATGCTGTAAAGTAACCCAAGGGTACAGATGTACTCGCAGATCAGAAATGCAGTGTTGCTGTAGACTGTTAGAATTAAGGGGTAGAGTCCCTGCATGCGACACTTGGTATTACTTGAAAATAATTGCAAAATAAAGAGTGGCTAAATGTATGTGAGACAGCAGCACAATTGCCACCGTTTCTTAGACAAGACTTGACGCTGTAATACAGACGCTAGGGTCTCAGAGAGCTGTAGCCTGCCCAAGAGAAGCCACCTGTGGTTTAAATGCTGTGTTCCAAGGATCTCCAGAGATCTTTAAGTGACCTAGAGAAATAGTTTACTACTGCCCACCAGCACAGGAAACCTTATAACCAAGATGTCACCAATCAGATATCGTCACCATGTGTAAAAAATGACATCTTCATCCAACTTATACATTTTTGAGATCTCACTTCTAGAGCAGAGTGGGGACTTCTGATACTCCATTCCTTAAAAGCAACAAGAATCCTGGCAAAAACTGTCAAAATCAAATTTTTCAGAACTCTGGAGATTAACAACTTGCAGCAGTCTGAGGAGTATTTATTCAAGAAAAACAGCTGAATCTCAAGAATCGTGGCATTTTACCTTGCCTAATTCTATCTCACTTTCTCCAGCTCTGAAGTAGCTTTGTAAACTATCAGTCTTACAACTACAGTAATTATGAAAACCAGCAGCCTAGCAGCCACAAGAAGCATGGGTTTGGACCTCTCTAAAAGCCATGCCCAAAGAAATGTCACTATTTGACTGTTTGGCAGCTTCAGTTCACTCTATGTTAACAGCCCTTTACTCACAGGGCATTGGTCACAACCAATCAGCAGCAACTATTTAACAACTTGGCTACCTGAGGCAGCATTACCAGTTAGGGCTAACAAAAGGAAAAACTTAAGAAGAAACACTGGAGAATGAGATGTCCATAGGGAGCTTTGAAACGCTTCTGATATATTCTTAGGAATCTAGAAGGTCACACTCACTGTCTAGGGCTGTATGCTTGCCCAGGAAATACCTAAGAAGGCTTTCTTTTTTTTTTTTTTTTTTTATAAATATATCTTATTGATTTCTTACAGAGAGGAAGGGAGAGAGATAGAAAGTTAAAAACATCGATCAGCTGCCTCCTGCACATCTCCTACTGGGGATGTGCCCGCAACCCAGGTACATGCCCTTGACTGGAATCGAACCTGGGACCTTTCAGTCCGCAGGCCGACGCTCTATCCACTGAGCCAAACCGGTTTCGGACCTAAGAAGGCTTTCACTTTTGGGTGTATTTGAGCCTCTGTTTAAGGAGGAATTGAAGATATAAAACTTTCAAAAAACAAATACCAAAATGGCAGAGTGTAAATCATAAGTTATCAATAATGACAGTAAATTTAAATAGATTAAGCACTTCAAATGACAAAGATAGGCAGAATGGCTAAAAAATCATAACCCAATTATATGCTGTCTATTAGAGACACACTTTAGATTCAAAGACACAAATAGGTTTAAAGTAAAAGGATGGAAAAAGAAGTACCCTATAAACAATACCCCAAAGAGAGCTCAAATGGCTATCTTACTATCAGATAAAAATTAAGAAAAAATTGTTATAGGGACAAAGGATATTTTATAATGATAAAAGCATCAATCCATCAGGAAGACATTAAAATTATAAATATATATGTGCATCCAATAACATATAAGTTTTTAATCTTTCTACACTAACTGTACATTTTGTTATGACTGTCTTCTATTTAATTTCATATGTAGTGAAATGTTTAAAAAAAATCAACATTGCCAGGACCTGCTAAGTCAATGGTCCATACACTCTTTATACCAATTAAATTAAAAATCAATAACGATATTTATGAGAACATAAAATTACTTATGTATGACTGACTTTAAGAGACAACACGTATTACCCTCCACTACCCCCATGTTCACTCCAAAGAGCAAACCTCTGTCTTTTTCTTCTTCACTTTCAAAACTCTCTCTTCCATCATGTCGTGGGCTAGAGGGAGAACTGTAACTCTCTGAAGATGTTTCTCCACATGTGTCATGTCCAGATCCAATGTCCAAATTCGCATCTAAAAATAATAATTCTATTTTTAAAAATCATGTTAAGTAAATTAAATTCTGAATTGAACCAGTAGAAATAAGTTACATCTGCAATTTTTTGTTTTTGTTTCAGTTTTCCTACAATTACCTAAAAAGCTGGTATCTAACCTAGGTAAAAATTCACTATTAAATCACAATTTTAATTGAAAATAATTTATAAATACATTCTTAAAACAACAAAGGCAGAGGAAAATGTCAATCTTATTGACTTTAAAAAAATCAGAGTTAAGGTTCTTTGTAGGGTCTTGCCCAATAACAACAGCATACTGGGCCATTTTCGAAGTCTAAATATTTTAACTTCTCAGAACTTGTTGGACATTCATTCTTTAAAAGACCTCAAGAATAGAACTGATTGCCAAAAATCCCCATTCAGTTAAAATTACTATGCCTGAGTATTCAAAAGGAGTAAAATCCTATCTAGTGGACTGAGAAGCTCTTTTGAGTTCTGCCTAGAAGCCAAGGTGACACAGAGGCAGTGTTGGGGGTGAAGTGCAAAAGCTGTCATGATCAATTAGCTACATCTCTTTTGAATACAGAGGCGAGATTATTGGTATACCTAGTATTGTACATTCCTGCACTGCCCCTAATTTAGGGTACTGTCCTATTCATTTCTGTAAATCCATAGTTCCTACCTTGCAACAGCATTCAACTTGCTTAGTGAATAGTTTAGTGCATAAATCCCCGTAAGAGGGATTTCAGAGGGATCTTTTAGAACTATAGATGAGTGAATTATTTCCATGGCAACTTGGTAAAACCAATGAAAGGTAATAACTATTAATCACTTGGACAAAATATGTGTTAGAGAAAAGATATGGTTTGTGATGACCAAGTTATTTGACTAAGCTATGCCTTTTGAATGGACTAAATTTGCAGCAATTGTTAAAAGATAACCTAGCCTAGCCCAACTACAATAGTGAATAGATACTGAATAACAATAAAGTCATTAAATATTGCTAATTCCCTTTGAGTAATAAAATGCCAAACTACCACGGAAAAACTGAACAAAATCTCATGAGGCTGTAAGTGGCTGAAGAGTTATTGGGCAAGTAATGATTTTACAGAAAAGTTATCTGGAGTATACTTATCCTATTAAAAAAAAAAGGCTAATATGCAAATCGACCAAAAGGCAGAATGACCAGTTGCTATGACATGCACTGACCACCAGGGGGCAGACGCTCAACACAGGAGCTGCCCCCTGGTGGTCAGTGCGCTCCCACAGGGGGAGTGCTGCTCAGCCAGAAGCCAGGCTCACAGCTGTTGAGTGCAGTGGCAGCAGGTGGATATCCCCCAAGGGGTCCTGGACTGCGAGAGGGCGCAGGCCAGGCTAAAGGCCCCTACCCACCGCGCCCCCTCCCCTCAGTGCACAAATGTTGTGCACCAAGCCTCTAGTGTACAATAATAGGTTTTGAATTACCAGTCACAGTGTGACCAAGGGATGCACATCAACACCAATGGCTACCCGGAGACAAATTTATGTACCGTGATGGCCAAAACCTGGCATTAAATTGGACTAACAAAATTGGAAACTCTAAAACTGTGGCACATATGGAACTTCTGCATATAAATATTTCAACCAGCATATAACAAAATTAACAATTTAAGGATTAAGAGAATCAAAGATTCAACATGACAATCTCAAACCAAAAATGATAGGCTAAAAAGGAAACCAGTGGGATCAGGTGAGCTGAGATTTGCTCACTAAAACTCAGACAGTGAAACTACAGAATGTGTGTGCATATGTGCTTTTAATGCAGCTATTTCTCAAAATGACACAATTTTAAAAATTATTTTCTTTAGATTATATAGCTAGTAAACATTCAACGCACCAAATTATCACATATTAATCTGTAGTTTTCAAAGAACTAAATACATAAATCTACACTAAACATAATTTTCTCTTTTTGAGCATCTCAAAGGTACTTAGGAATTGTGTAGAGTCTTTGGAATTTTTATGAGAAATTATGTGATACCCTAGAGTCAGAAGGTGTGAAGGTGAGGATATGCCAAAGGATATTCCACAAATCGCCCTTATAAATAGAGATATAAACTTCTTTATTTGTTATCATGTCTCACAGGGTAAAAGATCATGCAAGACGACAAAAAGCAAAAACTTACGTTAGCCACTATTCTAACAATAAAAATCCTGGCTATTAGTATATATGAACAAACAGAAATTACACTTAACTGTTTAGGTACATCAGAACCACAATTAAATAAAGTCAGAGACATTTAAATCACTAAAGCCTTTTAAAAGAAATTGAGAAGTCAACCACCTCATTCTCCCCAAGCTTTTTGGTGCCGCAATCAGCAACAGAAGAGCAGGGTGGAAGAAACATGGGTGATACACTGTAACAGAGTTCTTAATAGTGTAGACAAGGTAAATCGTACATCTTTTCAGCAGAGAGAATTAATGCATGAAGTTTTAAAGCAAAAACACTGTAAAGAATACTGATGATGACCAGCACTCCCCTGTTGGGGAGGCAGCAACATGGAGGGGGACTGTGAGGGGTTATTTTGTTCCTTTTTGTACCTTTAGAATGTCAAACTACACTAATGTATTATTACTCAAAATAAAAGTTAAAATTTTAAATTAAAAACAAATAATACTTATCTTAAACTAGACTGGATTATTTAAAGATCTGAATAACATACAAATCAGAAGGACCCAATATTTTCAGTTTCAATCTAGTATCCACATTTTATGATATGCATGACTGTTCCATAAAAAAAGAAATCAAAATATATCATGAGTTCACTGAATGCTTTAGGTAATTCCTTGATATCTTAATATTTTAAGGAGAAATAAACAAGAGTTTTTCATAAGTTGGAGACAGCAAACATCTGAGCTACATTTGACATCAATGAGACAAGTTGTACAAAGTATATTTTATTTATAATCATGCTCTATAACTGTAAGTATATATGAATCAGTGACATGTATATACAAGATAAAACAGACAGAATAAGGTTTATCTTAAACATCCTGAAGTTGTACTTTCATAATATTTGAAAACAGAGAAAGAAATTGGAACTTGAGATATTATTAAAAAGTTCTTAATAAACTTTATAGCACATGTGTTTTCTTTTAACTTAGACTAGTGAAAAGGAACTAAATTATTGAACACCCATGTACTCGGTGCTAGCTAAATGCTTTCACAATACATTTTTTACAATCTGGTAAAGTAGGCATTATTCCTGTTTTACAAATGAGAAAACTAAGGCTTCAGAGAGGCCACACATTTAAGAAAGTGGTGGAGTACAAGATTCAAACGCATATCTGTCTGAGATTAAAATCCACACATTTCTCCTCTGAAAATATGAAGCTAAAAAGGAGAGAAGTGTCACAAACTTCTTTGGTGAGCACCAGTTCCCAAATTATGTGAGACAAGAGAGTGATCTTGTGAGGGTGGTATATATAAGGTGGGGCAAAAGTAGGTTTACAGTTGTGAGTAAAACAGTTTTTCTTGTATTATTTACTTATTATTTTTCCATACAAACAACTGTAAATCTCCTTTTGCCCACCCCTGTATTTGACAAGAGTTTTAACTGGAAAATGACCTGATTTATTGTATATGTTTTAGAAGACAAAATGGTGGCAGTGTAGAAAAAAAACTTGAAGGAGGCAAGAACAGACAGGGAGACCTGGCAAAAGCTATTTCCAATCATCCATTGGCAGAGACCTTTCGTCTTATTTCAGCTTTTTCCTCCTCCTTTTAGCTGCCATCACCACAGGAAACATCAAAATGTTAAAATATACTCCTAAATAACATGGTTTTTTTCCCCCATGCTATTTCCGCCCCAACGCCCCCAACAAAGACAGCTCAGTTAATTTATTCAATGAGTTGGTCTGATGATTTTATAGTCAAAATTAACCACATTCCTTTTATTCAATCTTTCCAAACAAATATCTAGTTAAAATACACTCCATTAAAAATATTCTGGTTATTTATGTTGCATCACACCTTAATGTAGTAACATTTGAATAACACCTCAATTTTAAATCCTTATTTGTGCGATCAGTCCAGTATTAGGTACAAAAATGCACAAAACATTCTCCTAGTAGTCTGTGGGCTTGTATTCTTTTTTATCTTTACTATTAATAGTAAAGGTAAACTAACACAGAAAAATTATCAATGAACCAGCAGAAGGGACATCTCTCAGTCAAATGAACACATAACCTTTCACCCCAAAATAAAGGGACCTTAAAATAACAATGGGTAAACGAAAACCACACAAATCTAGTACAATAAGAATGAGGGTCTGAATTCCTCTAAAGTACCATAAACTCTCAGGACAGTTATTAAACATGAAAAAGTGAATAGATTCTAAAAATGACTTTCTATAAGAATGGGTCCCAGTTGCCAGGAGGGTGGGAAAGGCCTGCCAGGTCTCCTGGACCTCTCCTCTGGAGCAGGGACCAGCTTGAGACGGTAACAGGTGAGGAGGCTGCTGGCAGCAGAGGAGAGAAGAGCTGGGTCAGCAGAACTGTAGTAAACTCCATGGACAAGTCATATATCCTACATTAATGCCATTAATTAATACTTCAGAACTGTTTAATTCAGACACTGCTATTCACATCGACGCAGGATAAAAGCATGTCAGGATTTGACATAACAGCTCAATTCCTACTACAAAAGGTATACTAAAGACATTTCGGCAACGGGTATTTGAAATAAGTACATTCTTACCTTTCACAGAACCACCCTGGGCATGCTGAGGCGTGGAGAGTCTAATACCATTTATTCTACTATTCAATCTGTTGTCAGTTTTCTTAATTTTCTCTCTAAACCAAAAGTATACAAGTTACCAACAGTTTTATAAGGTTCTGCAGAGAACACATTAAGAACAATAGTATTACTAAAATTCCCCTTATTTTTATAATTAAAACTTTTTTTAGTAAGGTATACTCTAAAAGCAAGATTTGATGTACAGTTCTGAGAGTTTTGCCCCTCCAAACTGAATATAATATTTGACAAGAGCTTTATTTTTATCACTTGCATATGTTGATTATTCTGCACTAAAAAATAAAGCCTAGAGGTAAAAATATAAAGAAAACTAATGGAAAGATACTACTTATACTACATAAATTAAATGTGCCCAAAATCAAATGCTGTATGTTGCCCCTTCTTACCAATTTCTATTACTGGAGACATTAAATTGAACCTACTTTTCTATTTGTGGCTTTCCTTTCTTCTTATTTATTGAAGATAAGCTTCGTTTTTCACTTGAATGCTAGTGGAGAGAATAGAAAGAAATCAGACTAAAGTTAACACCTCACTTTGGAAGGTATCCTCTTATTCTGCTATCAAGATTAAAATGATACATTCCCAGTTGTATATTCTAATAGATTTTTATTTTTCAACTTATTTTTGAAGTTACCTACCAGAACCACTAAAATTTTTATAATCCCCGACAAATACTTAATATTGTTAATCATGAGAAGAAAAATATTTAGTATTTTGCTTTAAAAATGGACTTGAATTTTCTTGACTACATAAAACACAATCAAGTGACTGTACTTGCTATAGGTTTACTTAGTATTTTCTTAAAGTTCAGATTGGTAAAACTGCGATACACAATTTTTTCAACTAACAAGAAAAGGTGTGCAGGCACTGAAGTGAAGGCAGAACAAGTTTAAACAATATACTCTGAAAACAGGCCATAAAGTAAGTATGATTAAGACAGTGGTTCTCAACCTTCTGGTCCTTTAAATATAGTTCCTCATGTTGTGATCCAACCATAAAATTATTTTCGTTGCTACTTCATAACTGTAATGTTGCTATTGTTATGAATTGTAATGTAAATATCTGATATGCAGGATGGTCTTAGGTGACCCCTGTGAAAGGGTCGTTCGACCGCCAAAGGGGTCGTGACCCACGGTTGAGAACCGCTGGATTAAGATAACATACACTTTCTCAAAATATGCTTTAATGCTTTATTTAGTTCATAAAAAAAAATATTCCAGTAAAGGTTAACATTTGAATCTGAGTATTGTCCAAAAATGAAAATCTGGTTAACAAATCTATTCTTTAGAGAGAAAGTGGTCCTCTCCAGGACTACAACAGCAAGCACTCTCCCTGCACCTGGGGTGCCATAGTACCTGAACACTCTTGAGAGCCCTGTGCTTTCTGATCCTACCATACCCTAAGGGAGCGAGTATGTCCTCATTATACTCAGGAGGGCCAGCAACTGGCCCAACTACTCATGAGGGGAGGTCAGTTTCAACATTCACATCACCAGTAGCAATATAGTGACAGAAATGTGAATTAATTCTTTCAGAAGCAAAAAAATTGGTATAACAATATAATGTATCACTAGTTAGAATCAATGTTTTAGGCATCATATTAAAATGTATTAATTTTTTGAGCAATAAAAGTAATCTAAATAAACTTTTTCAGGTCTCAGAAGAGCTTAGATCATATAAACCAATTAAATTTGAAGTTTAACACAACATTCCTTCAGTCATCCTTACCAGATATACTCTCTGACATAATAATGCTTACAGAACTCGATTCTTACTGAGTAGCAATGCTTTAACCGTATGGCATGAAGACAAAACAAAGCCCTCATAAATACCTGGTCAGCTAAGGTCGCACAGTGCTCTGGGTGCTGAATCATAGTGCAGCTTTGGCTCCTCCAGTCCACAATGCCATTCTCTTCAGAATACTGCACGGAGAGCCCATCCAATGGAGAACAACTTGTACCAACGGTGCTATCAAAAGGAAAGTTTATACAAATATGAATATCTGTTCTCAATAATCTAACCTACTATATCATACAATGAGGAAGCTATAGTAACACTTTCTTTACTATATACAGAATACACTACAGGAAACAAGTATATTATGAGAATAAACCAGTACACAGCTATGTTACCTATTTAAAAATAAACCCCTGTCTCTAAGGAGATTAATAACAGTTGTGGAGGAGAAACCAAGACGGCGGCATATGTAAACACCGGAAATTGCTGCCTCGCACAACCACTTCAAAAATACAACTAAAAGACAAAACGGACATCATCCAGAACCACAGGAAGGCTTGCCGAGTGGAAATTCTACAACTAGAAGGAAAGAGAAAAGCACACTGAGACTCAGAGGAGGTGCAGTATGGAAGTAAAGTGCAGAGGTATGGAGGCGCACACGGAAAGGGCTGGCACTGAGGACGCGGTTGTCTTTTTCAATCGGGAGGGAGACACAAGCTCCCGACTGCTCTGAACTCCAGTTCCGGGCAAGTCTCTGGGGACCCAGACTCATACGGGAAGAAACTGGACTGTCTGGCATCGGGCAGAACTCGAGGGCGGCTTTCTCTCAGAGGTGCTTGCAGCGTTTACTGCGGAACAGTGAGACCTGGAGCCTCTTAGGGCAGGGCTGAGGATCAGCCATAGCTGTTTGCTCCGCCCTGTTGATTCACTGAGACCCCACCCCACCAAAGCTGTGGCAGAGGCTTTTGCATATGAATACCCTGGCCCTTTGCAATCTAAAATTACCTAACTAACTGCAGCTGGGTCAGAGAGACCCAGAACATCCAAGAGAAGGCCCAAGGCCCCACAGCAGCTTGCACTGCTTCACAGCTGGGCCTCATCTAGGCACTTCCAAACTCCAAACAAAGAAGAGGAATCTGCAGATCTCTCCGTAGCTCCTGCTGGGTAGACTCAGGAAGAGGCTAAATTACCACCTGCTTAGAGATCCAAGAGCCAGTGTACCCAGTGGTCAGAGTGGACCATCCAGATTATAACTCCTCAGATCCATAAGGGACACACTCAGGGGGTAGACTCAGTGAGCACCAAAGCCCCACTGAAGCAAGTCTTGCCCCAGAAGGGTATCTCTAGCATAGAAGTTCTCCCACCATAACCACAGCTGATTCTCACAGCCAATTGGCCTGGAGGTCAATTCCTCCCAGTGATACCTACAACAATCAAGGCTTAACTACAACAAGACTGCACAAAGCCCACAAAGGGGTGTACCAAGAGTGTCCACCTCAGGTAATTGGGGAGGCTAAGCCACTGGGCCCTATAGGACACCTAGCACACAAAGCCACTCTACCAACACAGGGAAGCAGCCAAAATGCGGAGACAAAGAAACAGGTCACAAATGACAGAAATGGAGGAAAGCAAACTACAGGATATAAAGTTCAGAACCACACTTATAAGGTTTTTCAAGAATTTTCTAGAAACCGCCGATAAATTTAGTGAGACCCTCGAGGATATGAAAAAGGAGGAACTAGAAATTAAGCATACACTGACTGAAATAAAAAATATTATACAGAGACCCAACAGCAGATTAGAGGATCCTAAGAATCAAGTCAAACATTTGAATTACGAAGAAGCAAAAAACACCCAACCGGAAAAACAAAATGAAAAAAGAATCCAAAAATACGAAGATAGTGTAAGGAGCCTCTGGGACAGCTTCAAGCATACCAACATCCAAATTATAGGGGTGCCAGAAGAAGAGAGAGAGCAAGATATTGAGAACCTATTTGAAGAAATAATGACAGAAAACTTCCCCTACCTGGTGAAAGAATTAGACTTACAAGTCCAGGAAGCGCAGAGAACCCCAAACAAAAGGAATCCAAAGAGGACCACACCAAGACACATCATAATTAAAATGCCAAGAGCAAAAGACAAAGAGAGAATCTTAAAAGCAGCAAGAGAAAAACAGTCAGTTACCTACAAGGGAGTACCCATACAACTGTCAGCTGATTTCTCAATAGAAACTATGAAGGCCAGAAGGGAGTGGCAAGAAATATTCAAAGTGATGAATAGCAAGAACCTACAACCAAGATTACTTTACCCAGCAAAGCTATCATTCAGAATTGAAGGTCAGATAAAGAGCTTCACAGATAAGAAAAAGCTAAAGGAGTTTATTACCACCAAACCAGTATTATATGAATTGCTGAAAGGTATCCTTTAAGAAGAGGAGGAAGAAGAAAAGGTAAAGATACAAATTATGAACAACAAATACACATCTATCAACAAGTGAATCTAAAAATCAAGTGAATAAATAATTTGATGAACAGAATAAACTGGTGAATATAATAGAATCAGGGGCATAGAAAGGGAGTGGACAGACAATTCTTAGGAGGGAAGTGTGTGGGGGGGTGCAGGAAGAGACTGGACAAAAATCAAACACCTATGGATGAGGACAGTGGAGGGGGGGTGGTAAGGGCAGAGAGTGGGGTGGGAACCAGGTGGATGGGAGCTATGGGGGGAAAAAAGAGGAACTGTAATAATATGAACAATAAAGATTTTAAAAAATATAGCAGCTGTGTATTGTCTTTAGACTCTGTGCAATGGCCATCCTATACCACTTATAGTTGGAGTGTAACCCCAATCTTGAGAGAATCACTAAGTACTACATACATCTAAGGCATGAGAAGGGATAGGATAATGTGACTGAAAAGGAACAGACAATAGAAATAGACACAAAGAGAATCCAGAATGAAGTTACTGTGGGTGGATTTTTAAACAATAGTGCTTAACAGGATCAATGATTACAAGAATATTGAGAAATATAAAAAAGAACCAAATTTAAATTCTAGAACTGTAAAATGAAATAAAATTAAGAAATGAATGGATAGATAGATGAAAAAAAAATCAGTGAAGAGGAAATATGGTCAGAAAATAGATTGGAGCACTGAGAGGGAAAAAATATGGAAAATGCAAAAAAAGTTTAAGAGACATGGGACATGGTGAAAGGTCTAACATAGGTACTCCAAGTCTTACAAGAGGGAGAAAGAGAATAGGGAAGAAGTAATATCTGCAGAGACAATGGCTCGGACTTCTCTAAAACCAAAGGTATCAAGCTTCAAACTCATGAAGCAAAATTCATTCAAAGAAAGCTACAAACATATTGTAGAAAAACTACTGAAAACCAGACAATGAGAAAAATCTAAAAAGAGCTGGAAAATGCACACAAACTTCCAAAGAGCAACTATAAGATTAAACAATGGATGCCAGCTGTCTTAAATTTGAGTTTCCCCTAAAAAAACAGAATCTAGAATTTCATAGTTAATCTGGGGGGTGATCCCAGGAAACAGGATCAAGGAATGGGTGAATGAAGTAGGAGAGGAAGAAAAACCAATGTGAGGGGGTCCATTACTGAGGGTGCCACTATAAACAACAGCAGCTTAAACCAGCTGCGACCTCTCAGAGTTATCTACCCAAAGGACAGGAAGCTGGATCTCCCCCATCAGTTGACAACTGACCCCACCCCCCAGGCAAATTAACTTGTACTTCTTGAGGGCCAAGCAAGGCCCAAAGAATCTGCATAAGCCCTGGGGCAGAAGGTGGAAAATCTTGTGGTATGGGCTTGTGGTGGGACAACAGTAATGTGAAGGGAGTCAGAAATAGTATAAATGTAATTTGCCGAAGAAATCAGAGCTGGGCTAAGGGGATATGATGTAAGGGACCAAAGGCATTAGACTGGAAGACAGTAAAACTAAAGGTATGCCTCAGAGATATTGTTGGTTCCAGACCACAGCCATAAAGCAAGTATCACAATAAAGCAGGTCAAATTTTTTGGTTTCCAAGTGCATATAAAAGTTATGTTTACACTATACTGTAGTCTATTAAGTGTGCAATAAATAGCATTATGTATAAAAACACAATGTGCATCCTTAATTAAAAAATACTTTATTGTTAAAAAATGCTAACCACCATCTGAGCCTTCAGCAAGCTAAAATCTTTATGGTGGTGGAGGGTCTTACCTTCAATTTGTACATGACACAATATCTGTGAAGTGCAATAAAATGAGGTAGAGTTTCAAAGTGCTAGCAGAAAATAATTGCCAACCTAGAATTTTATACCCAGGAAAAATGTACATCAAAAATAAAGGCAAAATAAATATTTTTTACAGATAAAAACAAAGTGAGTTCACCACTGGCAGATATGATTATAGGAAATAACTCAAGGTTTCTTCAATTAGATGGAAAATGAACACTGATGGGTAACTAGACACAGGAAGGAATGAAGAACAATGGAAAGGTCAATGCTAAATAAATAAAAAAAGGTTTCATGAGGTTTAAAATATAGACAGAATTAAAATACATGACTGCTATAGTTTGTAAGTTGGGAGAAGATAAGTGAAGTAACTGGAGATCTTCACATGGTATGTGGTACAAGTACAACGAATATCACAGCTTTGTAAGTTAAAGATGTACAATATAATCTCCAGGATAACCAACCACTAGCATAATTGAAAAACAATGTATAATGATCAAGACTAATAAAAGTAAAAAGAATTTAAAAAAAAAAAAAAAGGAGGAAAGGAGAAAACAGAGAAAATACACAACAAATAACAAGCAAATAATAAAATGGTAGAATTATAGCCAACTATTTATCAGTAATTAAAGTAAATGAGATACTGATTTAAAATGCACAGACATCTCTCCTTTTAGGAATTAGATGCTTACTTCACTGTGGGACTCTTCCCGGTGTGCTTCTTATGTATTATGGTGTGCTGTAATACATCTAGAGTGGAGGAAAAAAATTTGTTATACTAAAGGCTTCTGCAAAAGTCCACAACAGGATCATGCAACTAATTTATGTGATATTAACATTGTCGACAGACCTTACAGAGTGCTTTTCAGAGAAAATTCCTTAAAGAATAAATTTTTCAAAAGATACAATAAATGACTGAATTTCCTTAACTATCCTCCAAAACTATGAACGTTTACTAGGAGCATGCCACTGCAAAACTATAACATTCAATTTTAAGCTCCTTTTTTAAACAATTAAAAAAGTGAAGTGCCTCAAATATTAAAAATATACATCTATTAATATAACACACACCCATGTACCCACATCTCAGATGTCTCTATGCCTCTTTTTATTAAGAAACAAAATATCACAGAAGCAACTAAAGGCCCTCTTCCATTCAACTCCCTCTCTCTACCGAGGTGAACTAGTGAAAATATTTCAGCGACTGCCCATATATGTATTGACAAACACATTCAGTGGTGTTACATGTCTGAATATACTATAATTGTTTTAAATGTCATCTAGCATGAATATGAGTATGTCACAATTTACTTATAACTTTATTAACATTTAAAGCATTTGTGTTAATATCCATTTGCTATTACACATAATGGTACCTTGAGAACCTCAGTCCCTGTCCCCTGACACAGGGACAATGTTCACAGAAGTAAAATTGCCGGGCAGTAGCATAAAATTAATTACCTCTAAGTTCACTACACAATGTCAAATTTCTGTCCAAAATAGTTTTGACAATTTATGTTCCCATCAGCAGATGAGAATTCCCATTACTTCATATCCTTGATGTCAGAAAAAAAATGTTTTGCCAATCCAAAGAATGTGAAAGGACATCTCATTGTTTTTATTTTTAAAACTAGAGGCCTGGTGCATGAATTCGTGCACGGTGGGGTTCCTCGGTCTGGTCGGCGATTGGGGTTGTCTTGCCCAGTCCCAGTTGGGGGCTATGGGGGCTGGCCAGCCAGGGAGGGACTGCGGGAGGGCTCCGGAGCATGTATGGTCCTCTCACCCAGACCCCAGCAGCAAGCTAACCTACCGGTTGGAGTGTCTGCCCCTTGGTGGTCAGTGCATGTCATAGCAACTGGTTGAGCAGTCTACCGATTTTATTCATTTTTATTGAATTTATTGGGGTGACATTAATAAAATTATATAGTTTTCAGGTGTACAATTCTATAATATATTATCTGTATATTGTATTATTATTTTTTAATATATTTTTATTGATTAGAGAGAGGAAGGGAGAGGGAGAGATAGAAACATCAATGATGAGAGAGAATCATTGATTGGATGCCTCCTGCATGCCCCCCCCACCCCAACTGGGGATTGAGCCAGCAACTCAGGCACATACTTTGACCAAAAATCGAACTGTGATCTCCTAGTTCATAGGTCAATGCTCAATCACTAAACCACACTGGGCATGCAGGTCATGCTTCACCTTGTCAAGAAAGCCTTCTTATCCCAGATATTAATGTTTAAATATTTAAGCTTTATATCTTACATATTACATTAAGTTTATATGTTACATGTAATTTGTAATTCACATCTAATTACATATATACTAGGGGCCCAGGGCACAAAATTCATGCACTCGGGGGTCGGGAGAGGGGGGTCTCTCGCAGCATCAAGCCCCCGCCGGCACCCACAAGACCCCAGGCCTCGGTGCACGGAGTTGTGGGACCCGCCTCTGCGACGCACTCACAGTGTCAAGTCCCCGCCCACCCACGCACACCTTGCCGTACACGCAGGTCCGCCCACCCACGTGTGCCTGCTGTGCACGCAGCCTCCTAGTGATGGGATGCTACGGCGTGAGGCCATCACCACCACATAGGCTTTTATCATCTAGGGTAGGATTTTTTATTGGAAAGCCTGGATAGTGTATTCTTTCCCTACTTATTTGTAATGCTACCTGTCACATTCCAAGTTTCTATATGTCTGCTTCTCAGCTCCTTAACCTGTTCTAATGGTCTGTTTGTCTATCCCTGTTCTAAAACCAGGAATAAGGACTTATTCCAGTGAATTGACATTTACCTTCTTCTTGACTTGAAGCTTCTGAGCTGTCTTCTTTTAAGTGTTCTAATATCTTGGAAGTCTTCAGAGAAGGTTGTAAATTATCTGTAGGAAGTATTTAATACAATTAACTTTTTAGGAAAATTATGATAAAGAAAACAAATATAATGATTATTTTTCTCCCAGGGAAGGCTAGAGTGGAGTTAGTAACAGAGTACATTTCTACCACATAGAACCTTTAAGAAATAAAATGACATAGCACAAAACACTGGGCTAGGAGTGGGGACCCTGATTCGTGGAGACAGTTCTCCTCATAAAAACCACAGGACTGAAGCAGATGCTTGACATCTGTCAGTCCCCCATCCCCACCCCTACCCTGCATGCTCAAGTGCTTCTCAAACATTTGTAGTGTTATGAAACTTTTTTAAATGTCTAATTTGTTGTGGGTCATTACTTTTATAAAATACAGTAATAATGTTGTGGCAATATCAAAAGAGTAGGTGTCTACTCTCAGTTTCGTTCCTCTATCACAGACCAGTGACAACCATTTGTGGACCAGCACTGACCCACAGAAAACACGGTTAGAGCAATGGATTAGTTCTCCTTTTAAATACAGAAAATACAGCAGGATTCCAGAGTTCAACATTTGAAGTCATTCAGGAATTTAATATTTGTTTTCTCAGTTGTCAGGATGTGGAATGTTGCTCTCTCTCCCACAGGGGATAAAAACGTAAAGCTGTTATTTTTCAAAAGAGCGAGGGTAAATTAACTTTGACAGTAACATGTTCTTTGGTGAAACAGTTTCGACATCCTGACCAGATTGTCCATAATCTCAAAACGTGTACTTTAAGACATTATTTTCACAACAACTTGATATCTTAAAACAAGATCTACCAGCTTCTTTAGCATTCACTGCTCATGTCATTTAAATACTACTAAGCTCTCAAGATGAGTTTTCTGTCATTTATGTATATACTACTCACTTGGGTGAGTTTTCCTGGGCAGCCTATTAAAGCCTGAATTAAAAGTTTAATTTTGTGCACTAATGCCTTTTTAGAACTAATCAGGCATGATTTATAAGTAAGTAGTCAATAAGAAGTACTTAAACTTGGTGTAAGGAGAAAGCACTGATTGTTAAATCTATACACTCTAGAACAGCGGTTCTCAACCTGTGGGTCGCAACCCCTTTGGCGGTCAAACGACCCTTTCACAGGGGTCGCCTAAGACCATCCTGCATATCAGATATTTACATTATGATTCATAACAGTAGCAACATTACAGTTATGAAATAGCAACGAAAATAATTTTATGGTTGGGGTCACAACATGAGGAACTGCATTTAAAGGGCCAGAAGGTTGAGAACCACTGCTCTAGAATGACCAGGATTCTCTTTTTAAAAAGCTATTGTCACCCTAGCTGGTTTGGCTCAGTGGTAAGAGCGTCAGCCTGTGAACTGAAGGGTCCCAGAGTCAAGGACACATGCTGGGTTGCAGGTTCGATCCCCAGTAGGGGGCGTGCAGGAGGCAGCCAATCAATGATTCTCTCTCATCATTGATGTTTCTCTCTCTCTCTCTCTCTCTCTCTCCCCCTTCCTCTCTGATATCAATATATATATTTAAAAGCTATTGTCCCTATTCAGATGTAAATTTAACCATGGAGGTGTTCATCTTCTCTTAGTCTAGTATTCAAGAAGAGTCATTAATTCTAATTGCTACTTATCTGTTTAAAATATTTAAGGCATACATATACACACACAGATGATTCAAAACTTTAAAAATTAACCCATATGTTATAATATCCAATCATATTATTCTTTTACCTCTTTTCCACCTAAAATTGAGAAAACATGTAGTTTCTTTCCCCTTTAAATACAGGAAAATACGACTTTTTTGAAAACAGAAGATTAAAAACACACAACTCAGCTACTTACTATAGTGGCTGCGCTTAAAATTAGCAGAAATTCTCCTAAAGCACACAAAAATGTTACTGGCAAAATATTATTTTTAAAAGGTAACTGAGATAGATGTGTATAAAACTAAACACAAGGCAGACTGTGATGAATGCTGAAACATAAGGGCAAAATCAAACTACAGGAACATAAGAAAAAACTAGAAACTTCATGAGGTAATATTTCAGTTGGGTCTTAAAATAGGTGTGAGTTTAACAGGCTGTGACAAAAGAAGCATATTAAGTTTGGGTGCAGAATGAGCCAGAACACTAGGACAGGAAATGGCAGGTGTATTGAGTGACTGCCCAGCCTTCCAACTCTGAAGGTTTTGAATAGGGGATTAACAATTTGATCTCTGAGATAATCCTGAGATAGGGTAAAGTACAGTGAGAAATTAGAATATAAGAGAAGAGCTAGGCTTTGTATAAAAAAAAAAAAGCCTCACTGACAACAACGAGCTTGGTAAGGAGAGGGTGAAAAGGAAGGAGTCCTTTGTCTGGTGTGGCTTGGCCTTTAAATGACTGCATAGGAAGAGGAAAAACTTTCAGTCTGGGAGGCTGGGAGTTCATCATGGGAATAAGGGACCCAGGGGGAAAGGCGGAGTATAAGAGTATGTTATACATCAAGCAACCAGCACTGTGGCAAGGTCTGAAGGAACCTGGTGATCCTGAATGCCCATGAGTTCAAGAGACTTGTCCCCAGCCTTGGAATCAGTCTGTTTTGTGATAGTAGCTTTTACACATTATTTTCTTTAAAACTGCAGCATAAAATTCACTTAAATCTACCAATGTTTCTTAATTGTAAGCTACTATTCCTTGACATTAACTGAAATGACAACCCCATACAAGATGGCATGGTGAAGCAGGAAACCCAAGCAAGAAAACACCAGACTTCTGCAGAGAAGCAGGATGCTTACTGAGGCTGTGTCGAGGGTCTGAGGATCTGGATTGAAAAAAGCTGTGGACTTTCTGACTCTGGAGAAAAGCTTGTGATGAGGTTGAAAATAGCTGCCTGCATATAAAAAGAAAGGAGATTTGTTAATTTCATCTAATATAAATACAAAAAAGTAACAGTTTAGACTGTAAAGCAAACCTAAGTGTCAGTTTAATTCAGGTATAAAAAAAATAGTTTTCCGCCGAAACCGGTTTGGCTCAGTGGATAGAGCGTCGGCCTGCGGACTGAAGGGTCCCAGACTCGATTCCGGTCAAGGGCATGTGCCTGGGTTGTGGGCATATCCCCAGTGGGAGACGTGCAGGAGGCAGCTGATCGATGTTTCTCTCTCATCGATGTTTCTAACTCTCTATCTCTCTCCCTTCCTCTCTGTAAAAAATCAATAAAATATATTTAAAAAAAAATAGTTTTCCTAAGAAAATGAATATTATTTTCTAATATATTTCCCACAGAAGGAACTGAATAAAAGTTAACAAAACTTATTTGCAAGAATCTAATAAACAGGCTTATTTTTAATTTTGTATAATCTAATGGTAAGGTTTCAATTCTGGCAAAAGGTGTATACTACTTCAGCCTTTTGCCCAAGTGGGCCAGCCTTTCTGCTCAGAAAAAGTACAGTTCTCATAGGTGTGACTTTTCATCTTTTGGTGTATCATGAAAAAAAAACCTTCCTACACTCTGAACACAGGAGGTGCGAAGTCTGGGACGCTAAGAGTCCGGGAAACTATGGAGCGTAGTGGTCAGGTCAGTTCCAAGCATTACTGCTACATCCCAAGGCATGACTAAGCAAGGACTCACTCCAATGTGTATCACACCATGACTCTAGGCAAGGGGTGGGCAAACTTTTTGACTCGAGGGCCACAATGGGTTCTTAAACTGGACCGGAGGGCCGGAACAAAAGCATGGATGGAGTGTTTGTGTGAACTAATATAAATTCAAAGTAAACATCATTACATAAAAGGGTACGGTCTTTTTTTTTTTTTAGTTTTATTCATTTCAAACGGGCCGGATCCGGCTCGCGGGCCGTAGTTTGCCCATGGCTGCTCTAGGCTGTTATCTTTGAAAACCAGAATTCCTCATATTTATTAATACAATTAAAATATTTCAACGGGAGGTCTTCCCTACAAAAGGGACCCTACAAAAAGGGGCAGTTACAGCATAGTCTAATGCAGTGGTTCTCAACCTTCCTAATGCCGCGACCCTTTAATACAGTTCCTCATGGTGTGGTGACCCCCAATTTCATCGTTACAAATTGAACATAATTAAAGCATAGTGATTAATCACAAAAACAGTATGTAATTATATGTGTTTTCCGATGGTCTTAGGCGACCCTTGTGAAAGGGTCATTCGACCCCCAAAGGGGTCGTGACCCACAGGTTGAGAACCGCTGGTCTAATAGAATGTTTACTTACTGATCTGAACACCAGCTCAACTACTGAAAAGCTGAATCATCCTAAACAAGCTTTTCAGCTTCAATTTCCTCATAGGCAATACTACCAATTCTTCAAGGTTATGACACTCAAAAATATATGTAAATTAAACTGTCACCCTGATGCTTAATGTACAAATCCCCTTCCATTGTTTTTGAACACTTTATTTTATTTTTATTTTTTAATATATTTTTATTGATTTCAGAGAGAAAGGGAGAGATAGAAACATCAATGATGACAGAGAATCACTGACTGGCTGCCTCCCGCATGCCCCCTATTGGGGACTGAGCCTGCAACCTAGGCATGTGCCCTTGACCAGAATCGAACCCGGGACCCCTCAGTCCACAGGATGACGCTCTATCCACTGAGCCAAATCAGCCAGGGCTGTTTTTGAAGAGTTTAAATGTCCTTAAAATTTTAATTCTTAAACTCTTTCCCAAGGTTTTTGACCTATCATTCAGATTAATTATAAAGCCATTAAGTTCCACACTAAGATATGACCCTTATGGGCCAAAGTTGCCTTATACTTAAAGCAAACTTGCTTCTTGGCACTCAAAATGTGGAGGTAAATATTCAACAGGAAGACAAATAAAGGAAATAAATGGAAGAAAAGTTGAGATATGAAGTAAGGAGCTAATCTAAATTTCCAGGTCTGAACACATTACCTAAAATTGGGGATTAAAATCCAGATTCAGTGGATTCTCCATTTACATTTACAAACCAGTTGGTCAAAACCATAAGCAGGCACACCTTTGATTCAAGGCTTGAGTTCCAAGAGACAGCTCAAATCCTACCTGCACACACTAATTGCAAATCCACTATGGGAACCACAACCTGAGGTACAGGCCCAGGCTTGAAATCAGGGTACAGACTGAACGCAGGGTGGGCTGTACCAACCTATCTCTACTTCACTTATAAACCCATTACCTATTTCTCATTTGCACTGTCCCCTATCTATTATAACTTCTGTATTTAAGGGACAAATGATACAAATCTAAAATTCACCAACGGAGAATGAAGTATCTAACATTTTAATGGTGTTGAGGTCACAAGCTAGCCATACAAATAAATTAAAAAATGACTCCCCCTCTGGGGGGGAAAAAGAGGTTTCACTGAATATTTGCATATTTTAGAAACAATCATTTCTGATTTCAGAGAGGTAAAGAGAACAAATGATAAAAGAATTAGTTTGGTGTCTTACTGTGAGTCAAGACCTAAACAATATAAGGATAAGACGACCATGTTAAAAAGTGCTCCAGAGAAAGACTCTGTGATCTGCCTCAAGTCCTCTGGACAGCGGTGATGCCGTCTGTGACACTGAGTGCAGCGTTTGGCGAACTATTACCTTAAGATGGGCTCCAGATCAGGATGTCGCCGTTCCTCCCGCTTCAGTGACCCCTGATTCAGGGCTCTCAGGATGGTCTTGTCAAAAGTCTCTGAAGACAGTTCCTTGGGAAGCTGGAAAATAAAAAGAGCATGGTCAGGGTTAAGTTTCTCACCTGCTTGGTAAACCCAGGCAAAGGGGCAAATAAATGCCAACTGCTCAAGAACCACCCCAAAGCAGTTCCTTTTCTAAATCCTCAGGGGGGGGGGGGGGGGGGGGGGGGGGGCATAGGTTTTTCTACTAGGAGACCCACCGTCTGCCCTCCAGACACACCTCGGGGCTTCCCAGGGAGCAGGACACCCAGCAGCATTCAACAAGCTTCTGGAACACACTTGCAAATACCTCACACACCACAGTGAAGTCTCACCCACACCCAACTTCTTCAGTTAAAGGGAACATTTTGCATAGTGAAGCTAGTATTATTTTTATCCTCAAATAGTATTCTGAAAAGTGTTATCTCTGCCTTTAGTTATCACTTTTGTGCCTCCTTTTACCCTGAATCGCTGGTAATGTCTGATTACCCGTGCCAGACACCAAATAAAGAACTGGGTGTGAAAAATGGGGTAAAAACTCTTAATCTAATTTACATTTAAAAAAACAACCCACTAATTAGAGATTTAGTAACCTTTTCCTCAAAGTGATGGAGGTACCCTCAGAGCACTGTATAGGAAATCACACACAAAATCATCACTTGGACAAGAAAATTTTTAAGTTAAAAACAAAATTTTAAGAGAATATATTTAGTAACTACATTATTTTGAAAAGTTTTTAATAAAGTAATTCTATATAAAACTAACTTTCCAAGTCTTTCAAGAATTCAAGGTTTCAAATTTGACTTTTGATAACTAGTCTTTGCTAGCTACTCTTGAATTACTGGCACTTTCCCTAAAATTAAGACTAGAACCATTAACACAATCTCTAAGGAGCCCCAAGAATAGAATAATCTATACAAATGGTCAGTTTACATATTGATTTTAATTGGAAAACCAGAACCCAAAGTAAGTATTCTTCTGACAAATCAGAATTCTGAGTCAACAATTCAGAAATGGAAAATTCAAAGGTAGCAAAAAGTATTGTTAATTTTAGGCACAGTGAGACTGTGGAAGCAAGATGTTATGTGAGAATGAAGTTCTTTCTCATTCATTAACCTGTTGAAGTCAAAGGCTCTGCTGGCATCCCACACACACCACTAACAGGAAGAAATAAGTTCTGAATCTACATATTTGCCAAAGAAATTACTATTCATTTCAATATTTACATTTTTATATTATTCTTAATAGATTTATGACACTAGTCATATATTACCCCATTTTAAATACAATTTCTACTGGATGTGCATACGCAACCAAAGAAAATTAGCATCGTGGATAAGTCTTTTTCCACTACCAATGGCTGAACGCTCTTCTACTACATCCATTTTCAACTGCTCAATGACTGTTCATGCGACCGGGCAGTGTGGATGTGCAGTCATCAGTATTTATAAACTGATCTATTTTCAAGTGGTTTTTATCTTTAATTTTCAGAGACTATTTCCAGTCCTCGAAGAAGGCATATTTGCTAAAAATATAGCTTTCAATCATGTCTCTTCTATTCTAGTCACTGTTTTGGATTTTCTCACCTCTTGGTCTTGGTTCCTGCACACCTAGCCTCCCACCTATGGCACCCTGGCTGGGCCTCAGCATAGCATATGCTCAGAGTGCTGGGAGGTTTACACCTCGTTATCACAAGCTATTCTTTAAAAACACTGAGGCCTAATGGATAACCACCTATAAGACCTCATCATAATATTTTGTGACCCCTTGTTCAGTCATTCAGTCAGCAAATATTCAAACTCCACCTGTCCTAGGTACTGTTTCAGCAGTGTCGGCACGACACTTGGGAGGGTTGTCAGGTGCTAAGGAGAGGCAGGTAAAGGTGGCTGGGAGGACACAATTTGTGGGAAAAAGAATGTGAAAGCACTGGCCTCAAACCCACTCTTCCACATTACAGCAAACTAGAGGTTTGGTTAAACAGCAACTATACAAGTTAGAATTACATGCTGTCAAAAGAACAGCGTTTGCTCTTAACTTTTGTAGACTTTAAAAGGAATGTAAAAAATAAAAATGATATGTAGAAGATTTGAAAGTGTATTTTAAATACACAATTAATTTCTACACATTCACAATATATTGCCAATTATTTCATGTAACTTGATAAGGCATTTGCCCTATTTTAGAAAAATAGTATATTCAAATGTTGCCTAAGCAGGGAGATCATTAATTACCATGATTCTGAAGAATGAATTACTTATTTGGAGCTGTATTTTTTCAAGTAACTAAGGTTTTAGAAAAATTGTGTGATGAACATGAAATGTGTCAAGACAAATAGCAGCTGAAGTGTAGGGCAACCCAGTGGGAGAGAGACTCTGCCCAGGCCCCAGGCCAGGGTCAGTCAGATACTCTCTCAGCACCTGGGGACAGGGAAGTAGCAGCCCCACACTAACTCCCTAAGTAAACAGCCTTGACTGCTGGCAGTGCTGGGCTGCAGGGTATTTCAGCCTTAGCTGTTTATCCCCTGCAAACCACCCTCAGCTCTAGAATTTGGTCATGGAAAGGGCAACAGAAAAAAGGAAATGAAGCACATTGCTCTTTAACCCAAATGAGGCCTGTTTTGGATAAATTTATTCTATGGAGAGAAAAGTCACAAATAAGTAGAAAAGAATGTAAAAGCGCATGTGTGGGCAGGATGGGGTCGCCCTTCCTTATTCCTCAATAGGCTGCTCTAGCCAGGAGCTACCTTCTCCTCCGGGGTACTGAGGAGAAAGTAGCTCATTGAACTACAGTGCTCACACACCTCTCCTTCCACCACTCTTCCTCCCCATGCTGTCTGAGGCTGACATGTCACAGGCATGAGACCTGTGGCAACTGGAAATTAATAACCCCTATCTTTACATGCAGTTAGGTCACCAGCTTGAAGTGGAGTTCTCAGACCTTACCCTAGAGTTAGTTTAAAATAAGCCATAGGGGGAGAAACCAAGATGGTGGCATAGGTAAACACCGGAAATTACTGCTTCCCACCACCACTTCAAAAATACAACTAAAAGACAAAACGGAAATCATCCAGAACCACAGGAAGGCTGGCTGAGTGGAAATTCTACAACTAGAAGGAAAGAGAAAAGCACACTGAGACTCAGAGGAGATGTGGAAGTAAAGTGCAGAGGTACGGAGGCACACGTGGAAAGGGCTGGCAACTGAGGACATGGTTGTCTTTTTCAATCGGGAGGGAATCTCAAGCTCCCAACTGCTCTGAACTCCAGTTTCGGGCAAGTCTCTGGGGACCCAGACTCATAGGGGGAGAAACTGGACTGTCTGGCATTGGGCAGAACTCGAGGGCGGCTTTCTCTCAGAGGTGCTTGCAGCGATTAGATTACCAGGACACTGAGACTCGGGGCCTCTTAGGGTAGGACTGAGGATCAGCTATCGCTGTTAGCTCCGCCCTGTTGATTCCCTGAGACCCCACCTGACCCAAGTTGTGCACAGAGGCTTTTGCATATGAAAGCCCGGGCCCTTTGCAATCTGAGAATTACCTAACAAACTGCAGCTGGGTCAAAGAGACCCAGACCTTCCAAAAGAAGGCCCAAGGTCCCACAGCAGCTTGCACTGCTTCACAGCTGGGCCTCATCTAGGCACTTCCAAACTCCAAACAAAGAAGAGGAATCTGCAGATCTCTCCGTAGCTCCTGCTGGGTAGACTCAGGAAGAGGCTAAATTACCACCTGCTTAGAGATCCAAGAGCCAGTGTACCCAGTGGTCAGAGTGGACCATCCAGATTATAACTCCTCAGATCCATAAGGGACACACTCAGGGGGTAGACTCAGTGAGCACCAAAGCCCCACTGAAGCAAGTCTTGCCCCAGAAGGGTGTCTCCAGCACAGAAGTTCTCCCACGATAACCACAGCTGATTCTCACAGCCAGTTGGCCTGGAGGTCAATTCCTCCCAGTGATACCTACAACAATCAAGGCTTAACTACAACAAGACTGCACAAAGCCCACAAAGGGGTGCAACAAGAGTGTCCACCTCAGGTAATTGGGGAGGCTAAGCCACTGGGCCCTATAGGACACCTAGCACACAAAGCCACTCTATCAACACAGGGAAGCAGCCAAAATGCGGAGACAAAGGAATAGGTCACAAATGACAGAAATGGAGGAAAGCAAACTACAGGATAAAGAGTTCAGAACCACACTTATAAGGTTTTTCAAGAATTTTCTAGAAACCACCGATAAATTTAGTGAGACCCTCAAGAAATCTAGTGAGACCCTCGAGGATATGAAAAAGGACCAACTAGAAATTAAGCATACACTGACTGAAATAAAGAATATTATACAGAGTTCCAACAGCAGACTAGAGGATCCTAAGAATCAAGTCAAAGATTTGAATTACGAAGAAGCAAAAAACACCCAACCGGAAAAACAAAAAGAAAAGAGTATCCAAAAATATGAAGATAGTGTAAGGAGCCTCTGGGACAACTTCAAGTGTACCAACATCCGAATTATGGGGGTGCCAGACGAAGAGAGAGAGCAAGATATTGAGAACCTATTTGAAGAAATAGTGACAGATAACTTCCCCTACCTAGTGAAAGAAATAGACTTACAAGTCCAAGAAGCGCAGAGAACCCCAAACAAAAGGAATCCAAAGAGGACCACACCAAGACACATCATAATTAAAATGCCAAGAGCAAAAGACAAAGAGAGAATCTTAAAAGCAGCAAGAGAAAAACAATCAGTTACCTACAAGGGAGTACCCATACGACTGTCAGCTGATTTCTCAACAGAAACTTTGCAGGCCAGAAGGGAGTGGCAAGAAATATTCAAAGTGATGAATAGCAAGAACCTACAACCAAGATTATTTTACCCAGCAAAGCTATCATTCAGAATTGAAGGTCAGATAAAGAGCTTCACAGATAAGAAAAAGCTAAAGGAGTTCATCACCACCAAACCAGTATTATATGAAATGCTGAAAAGTATCCTTTAAGAGGAGGAGAAGAAGAAAAAGGTAAAGATACAAATTATGAACAACAAATACACATCTATCAACAAGTGAATCTAAAAATCAAGTGAATAAATAATTTGATGAACAGAGTAAACTGGTGAATATAATAGAATCAGGGGCATAGAAAGGGAGTGGACTGACTATTCTCGGGGGGGGGGAGGGGTAAGGGGTGTGGGGGGTGCGGGAAGAGACTGGACAAAAATTGAACACCTATGGATGAGGACAGTGGAGGGGGGTCGGGGTAAGGGCAGAGAGTGGGGTGGGACTGGGTGGAGGGGAGCTATGGGGTAAAAAGAGGAACAACTGTAATAATCTGAACAATAAAGATTTAATAAAAAAAAGAAAAGAAAAAGGTAAAAAATAATAATAAAATAAAATAAGCCATAGGAAAATGGAAATATTCAAGTCATTCCCAGGAGTTCTCACCCAGCAGGACTGACACTGCTGACACAGGGAACTGTGTGCTCCTCAGAACCAGTGCCTCCCGTGCTGCCCACAGCTGTGTAAGATGGAGGCAAAAAGCCTCCTAGCTTTACAAGTAAATAGAGACCCATGTGATCTGAAAGAACAGATTCATGGTGACAAGCACTGTCCTGAAAATTTCATATGCTACTGGTTCAACAACTATGTCACACCTTTACCTAAAAGTTAGTAATTCAATTGGCAATGTTTTCTGCTTCTGGACTTTCTGTTTTATCTCTGTACTAGAGGCCTGATGCACAAAATTGGTGCAAGAGTAGGCCTTCCTTCCCCCAACTGCCGGCACCGGCTTCCCTCGCAGCCCCAGCTTCGTCCAGAAGGTCATCCAGAAGGACGTCCGGTCTAATTAGCATGTTACTCTTTTATTATTACAGATTAATTATAAATTTTAAAACATTTGCTTATTGAGAAACAGTAATTTATTGGTTATCCATTTAAACGTCTTCCCTTATTTTAGTATTTATCTCTACCCACACGCTTTTCAATAAAATAAAATTAGTATAAAAGAAATAGAGAGTTTGAACAAAATGATCTAAGATCCCTTTCACCTCAGCAAGTCTATAAGATGTTCCCAATATACCCTATTCTCAGTGCTTTGGAGAATCTATCCTTGTGGGAGTGGAGGGGGACTTGGAACTCAAAGAAGGAACAAATGGAGATATATTTAAGGAGTCCACAGAGGGAGCTGAAGAGCTGATAGGTCTGAGATCCACAACCAAATGCAAACAAACCTCATCTTATTTTGCAGACACACTCTTTCATAGGATGTACTCCAGCCACCAACATTACACATCTCGGCAAGGAAGTAGGAATAAGGTTCCATTTTTAAAAAATGTTGAAAATCCTTCATTTCCTTATATTCGTAATATAAAGAAAACTTATGTTTAGAATAACATGACGTTTTCTACAGCTAATGTTCATAGAGAGTTCTCCAACCTGTATATATGTATTTTAATTTTCTAGAAATTAATTTTGATGTAAGGGTTTTTGGATTTTGTATATTATGTAAAAATCATTTTAACAGCAAAATCTATACTTTTACCTTCAGTAGAAAATCCTGTAGTTCTTGGTGGGTTTTTGTTACTGTTGTGACTGAAAGATCAGACCAATTTACCTGATTAAAAACAAAACAAAACACAAACATATTATATGGTTATTTCTTAGGCAGAGAAACAACTGGAAAAAAAGCCATGTGTAAAGCAAAGAGCCCTACTTACATTTTATTAAGATTAACAATTAGAAATATAAAGTTAATCTGGCATTGTCGTCATTTCTTCAAAATTATTAAAATTGACAGCACACTGACATGTTCTACTCAAAAAAATTTTAGAAACTCATTTCAAATCACATGATTTTTTTTAAAAAGCTGTCTTTAAAATATGTGACCATATTTTGGTAACTTTTCAGAAAGTAGACCATCTTACATTCCTTTAGTGAAGTTGCAGAACTCTAACATAATGCTTTGAGAGTACAGCTCTATGCCCCAAGAAAGAGAAAAATTTTACCTCCTGGAACTTATGAAATATACATTCTTATGAGAAAAAAACCAGGGCTCACTAGCCCTCTTTGATAATACCATGAAGGGATTTCAACTTTATCTCAATTCTGTAAAATCCTATTAAGGTGGATGGGACAAGTGTGACCAATTTAAAGATGGAGAAACTAAAACTCCAAAAGGCTGATTTACTTAGATTTGACCCTAAGTAACCAAAGAGTCAGAAGTGAAATCTATTAGGCTGCCGTACCTCTTGAATACCTTTAATTCAGTGGATCTAATGGTGGCCCACTAACAATTTCTACTTTACAATTATTTGAGTTAATACTTGAAAAATGCTAATATCTAAGGCTTCTCAACTAATCCTATATAATAGCCTAATATGCTAAGCGTCCGTCTGTTCAACCAAAGTGTAATATGCTAAAGATATGCTAAGGCTGCTCAACCGCTCGCTATGACGTACACTGACCATCAGGGGGCAGACAGTTAACCGGTCGACCAGTCGCTATGATGTGCATTGATCACCAGGGGGCAGATGCTCTGACCGGTAGGTTAGCTTGCTGCTGGTGTATGGCTGATCAGGACTGAGCGAGATGGGCTGGACAGGCCCTGGAGCCCTCCTGCAGCCCCTCCCCGGCTGGCCAACCTCCCACATCCCTTCCCGGCCCTGATCGTGCACTGGTGGTGTCCTTCGGCCTGGCCTGCACCTTCTCGCAATCCAGGGCTCCTCAGGAGATGTCGGAGAGCTGGTGTCACCCCAATCCCACAGGCCAGGCCGAGGGACCCCACTGGTGCACAAATTTGTGCACTGGGCCTCTAGTTGTATCATAATTAATCAGACACTTAAAAATATAGTATGTCCTCACTTAATGTCAACAATAGGTTCTGTGACTTAAATAAAACAATGTATGGTAAGACCAATTTTACCATAGGCTGATATAAAGAAGAGTTAAGTTCCCAGAGCTTCTTATCAATATTAATGAAATAATGTGGTTATTCAAAGACTTACTACACATACAAAGTTTTATCTAGCAACCCCCAAAGCAAATATCCTTATTAACTGACAGATCTTTTAGCTGATTTTTAGTTATTCAAATGTCTGTTGAGCAGCTACTGTGTCAGTCACTGTTTCAGTGAAAGGGATACAGGGATGGACAAGACAGCCGAAGTTGCTGCTGGCTGAGGTCTGAGTCTAGTGTAGGAGACAGATGAAACAATGGCTATATAAGGATTCCCATCAGTGGTCATTGCTCCAAAGAAAATTAGTATGGTGTGGTGCAGGAGCAGGGAGAAGCCCATCATATGGCGCCAAGAAAGACCTCAGAGGAGGGGGCGTCTGAGCCAGTCTGTGTGTTGAAGGGACATCAGCTGTGCCACGGTCTGAGGGTACATCATTCCAGAGCAAGGGGACACAGACCTTAAAGAAGGAGCAATCTTAGAGCTCCAGCAACACAGGAAAGCTGGTGAAATGGAACGAAGACAGCAAAGATCAGCTTATGCCAAGTATTACAAAACTGTCAAGTGAAAAGTGGAGATAAGGACTTGAAATTTTCAAATTGAGGATATTTCTCCCATAGAGCAGAAGCCAGGACTCCGAAATTCTTTGAACAAATGTACTAAGCAAGTTAGATATGGTGGGATGGCAGCAGATGAAGATTCCTACTCTCTACGAGATAATAACCAAAAAGAAAGAAAAAACACAAACCCAAATGTAAGAACCTGTGATGGCAATGTACCTTGGATGAATGAAAAAGCATTCTGTTGGAGGATCAGAAGTGGCTTCATGAGAAAGGTACAGCTAACGTTTGGCAAGCAATACCTTTGGGGAGGAACTGAAGTAGGAAGCACAGAAACGTGGCGTCTTTCCATTTGGTTCAAGGCATGTACAGCCTTAGGAAAGAGGGCTAGACAGGGAAGCCCAAGCAGGGAGGAATAAGGAGATGTGGACAAGGAACCCACGTGACAGTGAACAGGCAAAGGAGACCTGGGCCTAACAGAGCTGGGCTCTAAGGTTAATTAGAGCTGTTTGAAGGACAGAAGGACAGGAGAGCAAGTGGAGCGATAAGAAGATAAGGCCACAAAGGCCAGAGAATAAAACCATCCTGGAGAAAGAAAAAAAGGAGAAAAATATCAAGGAAAATAATGCCAGGAAAAGACAAGGCTTATGATTCTGATTTTGAAAATACTGGTGAAAATGCTTACTTTTACTTTTAAAAGATGTATCTTATACCTTTAATCTAAACTCTGATAATTATTGTCAGAGCAATTTTCATGTGGTGGTACAATTTTTAAAAACTTGGCAAACCATGCAGAACACACTGAAAGCAGTACATCCCCTTAATTTAGACAAAGGTATACATTTGTTTAACTTTTCTAAGTTAGCAAACCTGCTAGAAGTTTTTCCAAAGATCAATGTTCATTCTTTCCAAAAGATTATTTAACATAAAATGAGGCATTTTTTTTGTGGGTGAGAGTAGCTTACTTCAAAGGTGTACTCCCAATATTTGTCAGCCCTTTTTCTCTGGACTCCTTTCAAGATTATCTTCTCAATGTGTACAGCTGAAAGAAAGAAAACATGCTGACTTGTTCTACAGAGACTAGACACACATTTCAATTACCAAATGTGATAAATGCTACACAATTAAGCTATTTATCTTCATCTTAATTACTGCTCTTAAATCATGATTAAGCAAAAAACAAAAAAACACTCAGAAGCATAGCAATGTGCCATCCATCCATGAAGTAATTTTTTCCTATATCCATTCAGCATGCTGAATGTCTAAGCAGCTTTAAGCACTCTGCTAAGCACCAAAGATAAAAAAGATAAAAAATAAAAGGTGCCAGCAGTGAAGATTATTTTTCAAGGTGCTAATCATCAAAACTGTTTGTTATTCCGATTACTACAAAAACAGCACTTTAGATTCATCCAAAAGAAAACGTACTTAAACAACAATGAGGCTGGTAGTAATGAAGATGATAAAGGTTTTAGCGAAGAAATTAGGAAAGTGACTCAACAGACTAGTGTGGTCACTGCTGGATCCAGGGGACAGGAGATGGAGAAGAGAAGGGAAAGATTCACTAAGGCTTAGAGGAAGAAGTTAAATCAGATGAAGCAGAAGATACAAAGTAACAAAAGTGTATAGGAAGAATTAAGGTTGTTATAGATCACGGAAGGTGGGCAATGAGAAAGCAGAAAACATAGACACAGAAATTTGCTGGTAAGCAGACATTCATAATAAACTAAGGAGATCTCATTGCCAGAATTTTGTGACAAGTTTCCAAATATATAGTGTTTGGTGGCCTGCTTCTGGGCCAATTTCCCCTTAGGGGGTGAAAAATGTTGAGGATGGAGACAAAAGAAAATCTCAAAAGCCAGGTGAGAAGCCTGTAACTTCTCAGAACTCCTGCAGCATCATACAGGCCAAAGTGGAAACGGAGGGTCTGCTGCTTTCAAAAGCTTTTCTATTAAATTATGTAAAGAATGATGCTACTAAATAAAAGCCATCTGAACTAATCTGCGTTCAGATATATAAAGCAGCTCTACTTCTGCAAACCGGTGGGCTATGGATAGGGGACAGCTAGGGCATTATGGAACACAGCTATGTCTTCAGCCTTGATTTCAAGTTAAACCTGCCGTGATCTATCAGAATCAGGACGAGAGAACAAAAGAGTATGTGGTGAGGAATGGTCAATAATGTGAGATCCTCCTCCAAGCTTCATACATTAAAACTAAAAAGCATAGATTATAAACATTTGTTTAAAAATTAACTATACACCCTGGCAGGTGTGGCTCAGTAGATAGAGTGTTGGTACACACACCTAAAGGTCTTGGGTTCGATTCCCGGTCAAGGGCACATACCTGGGTTGCAAGTCAGATCCCCAGCTCTAGTTTGGGAGTATGCGGAAGGGAACCAATTGATGTGTGTCTCTCACATAGATGTTTCTTTCTTTCTCTCTCTCTCTTTCTTTCTCTCTCTCTCTCTCCCTCCCTCCCTCCCTCCCTCCCTCCCTCCCTCCCTCCCTCCCTCCCTCCCTCCCTCCCTTCCTCCACTCTCCGCCCTCTCCATTCCTCCCACTCCTCTTTGAAAATCAATGGAAAAAAATATCCTCAGTGAGGGTTAATAAAAATTAAGAATACAAAAAATTATCTCTAGTACTACCTTAACTGTTAGCATTTTGATGTAATCTTTTCAATTTTCTTTTTTTTTTTTAAAGGACCTTCACTGTAAAACCAAACTCCTTTTAGGTGATTCCCATGCTTGGTGGAAGAGTCTATGGCTCAAGCAATTTGATATTCTTGATTAGAAATGTAAACTTTTTATACATTAAACATTTCTACCTATTTTTCCTCTGTAAGGAAAAATGTATTACACCGAAAGGATTATTATTTGGACTAAAAAGAGATAAAATAATGTCAATTCAAAGCTGTGATAACTAGCGTGAATTCTCACCCATCCTTCACTCTTCCAAGGCTGCCAGGTAGCTGTCTAGATTTTCCATTTCACTGTTTCCCTCAACACATGTAATGGACTCCCCAAATGTTAAGAGCATGTCTAAACTCACTTCTTTGCACATGCAAAGTCTTTTCATTCCCCCATCTCCAGCTCTCTTGAAAACTGCATTACTGCAGGAAGAATGGACTTGTAAGAAATTTCTTCTCTCTCTTACAGTGATCTTCTATAAAATTACTTTTTTTTAGTAGACACTGAGCACATCCTACAGATATAGCCCTATAATAAAAACTTTGGGAATATGTTAAGGTTTTTGCCCTCCAAATACATTCAACCAGATTGAAGACAACTGACTGCAAGGGCGGGCCGAGTGCTATGGAGCTATAGCCCAGATGCAGACTCAAACAAGTAGGAGGACTGGCTTTTGAACTAAACCAAGGACCAGCAGGCTTTCTCTACTCCAAAAAGGAGACAGAGAGTAAGAGTGAACCAATGTAAATAGCACTCTGTAATCTTTCCACTTATAGATGCTTTAAGTTAGCCAAAAATACAGCATACCTTCTCGCTGGGTTCTATGAGGTGCCACAGTAAGTCCGTCATGAGGTATTGAGGCGTGTTCTATTAAACTGGCCTCCTTAGCTTGCACATAATCACCGTGAGCAGAGTCATTCTAGATCAGAAAAGGGCCACAAGTTAATTGACTAAGAAGAGTAAATCCTATAAAATAAACCAGATTAAAGTCTTGTACTTTTAGTAGCAACCCTTTTAATAGCAATTTTTAGAGACCAAATAGGTGATTACAAAGTAAAGGCAGAAAGGTGCAAAAAGTCACAGGAGTAAGGAAAAGAATTATCAATATTTATCTTCATTTAACAGCAATATTTTATCAACTACTCACCGTTCCACTTTTCTTGCATATTACCTTTCAGAATTGCCAAAGATAACAATTCTATACCAAAATGAACCAGAATTGAAGCAACATAAGTAAAAGATGGTACCCTTTATGCTAATCCCCCACTACGTAAGGACATTGGTATTTTTTACATTAATTATTGTGCAATTTTTATTCATTACTTGGGTTTAGTGACTATCTAACAAGATGCTTTGTTGGGAAAATGTTTTACAAAAAGTATCAAAAAAACCAAATCGCCCTGACCGGTTTGGCTCAGTGGATAGGGCGTCGGCCTGGGGACTGAAGGGTCCCAGGTTCGATTCCAGTCAGGGGCATGTACCTTGGTTGCGGGCATATCCCCGGTGGGGGGTGTGCAGGAGGCAGCTGATCAATGTTTCTCTCTCATCGATGTTTCTCTCTATCCCTCTCCCTTCCTCTCTGTAAGAAAATCAATAAAATATATTTTTAAAAAAACAAACAAAAAAAAACAAATCTTTCTAAACAAGAATGTGTATAGACAGTGAGTGTATTACTAACGTTAAACCACCTCACGGTAACTAGGTGTTCTAAATCTAATTGCTCAGCCAGTCATCAGTGAACTGGGGTGAGTTTTACTCCTAGGAGAACTGCTGCTTAAAGGAATACAGAGCAGGCTGGTGTACACACAGCTCTCCAGCATTATCATGTGTAGACTGTTACTATAACACACTGGTTAAGCCGAATAAGAAAGTGGTTCTTTATCAAAATTCATACCACACCCCCCTCTTCATGTTCAGAATCTTTTTTTTTTTTATGTTCAGAATCTTAAAACACTACTCAAACCAAAATCACCTCAGATTCAAGAACCAACTACAATTTTACAAATTTGCAATAAATAATATACATTCATTTTTTAAAACTGTATAAAGAAATGAAGCAAACAGAACAGCTGAAACTTCCTAAAAATCCTATTGTAAAATATTTGTTTCTGCTGTGTCATTATGCATCCTGGCCTGCCAGTTGACAGCTCTCTCTCTGGGAATAAAGTATCACATTCGATACTCTGGGGAGCTAAGCTTCAGCCTTATACAGTAGTTGTCTTCTTCTAGAAGCCCAAGGAATAAAGACTGTCTACAAAGAAGCACTTAATGAGAAGAACACAGACCTCTTAAGTCAACATCCAACCTCTAAAACATTTATCACGATGGTATTCATCACTTTCCATCATTACTGATGTTAAAAAGTTGGATACAGGAATTCTTCTAATGATAACACAATCAATGTATATCCAACCCAAACCATATAATCATTTACTACAAAGTAATAAAACCACATTGGCCTAACACTACTGTACTTTAAAAATTAATACAAATAAAGCACTGTAATCCTCTCAAATACTTGTGTTAGCTGGAAGAAGTTTAGTTGATGAGGTAAACCATTTCCTATAGAATATTTTTCTACCATGCTTATGTGTGGTTCATAAATTAAAAATTACACACACCTTCCAATGTAAATCAAAATATATAAAACCCAATAGTTTTCAATAGGAAAATGAAAAAAATCAAAACCACAATGAGATGCACTTCATGCCCATTAGGATGGCTATTATCCAAAAACCAGAAAACAAGTATTGGCAAGAATTTGGAAAAATTGGAACTTTGTGCAATGCTGGTAAGGAATGTAAAATAGTGTGGCCATTATGAAAGACAGTCCAACAGTTCCTCAAAAAAAAAAAAAAAATTAAACATCGAATTACCATATGATCCAGCAATTCCACTTCTAGATGTATACCCAGAAGAACTGAGACTAGAACAGATAACTGGTACTCCAATGTTCATAGCAGCATTATTCACAATAGCCAAAAGGTAGAAATAACTCAAACATCCAATGAGGGATGAAGAGATAAAATGGTGTGTGTGTGTGTGTGTGTGTGTGTGTGTGTACACAAATGAAATATTAGCCTTAAAAAGGAATAAAATTCTGACAGATGCGACAACAGGGATCAACTTTGAGGACATTATGCTAAGTGAAACAAGCCAGACACAAGAGAATAAATATTGTACGATTCCACTTATATAAGGCACCTAGTTCATAGAGAAAGTAGAATAGGGCTAGAGAAAGGGAAATGGGGAGTAAATACAGGTTCTGTTAGGATAAAAGAAAAGTTCTGGAGATGAACAGTGGTGATGGTTGCACAACAATATGAATGTAAATGTACTTAATGCCACTAAATTATACAATTAAAAGGGTCAAAATGGAAACTTTTGTTATATATATTTTACCACAATGTTGCCTCCACAAATATTATATTGAAGTAACCATGAGAAAGTGATTTGCTTCATAATCATAATCACATTTTTAAAGTCTGAAGTTACTTTAAGAACACAATTTAGCAACCAAGAAAAAGCCTCCCGGTTTAATAAACTCTGAGAGCTCCTGGCTAACTCAAATCCACACGTCAAGTAACACAAGTAAGCTAGACATCTTGTTCATTCCAGAGATTACTAAGATTATATTTTACACATGAAGATCCATCACAATTACACACTTGAGATTTCTTAAATGTGGGAAAGTTTGTGGAATAGTCAAACGGTTGGACAGCCTAAAAAGACTCTTTGAAAACATACCCTGAGAACAAAAGTCAGTTGCATTGGCCACATTTTACTCTAACAAAGGTCTAACTATAGATGGAACACACAGAGAGTAGGGAGGGAGAGAGCACCTCCAGTCCCCAGATGTGTTGTGTCTCCAAACATTCTGGAGAAGAGACAAACAGACCTCACCTTTAGTTACCTGTCCAAATTCCTGGCCCATAGAGCTTTGAGAAATAATAAAAAGGTTGTTGGACTAAGCCACTAAATTTTGGGGTAACTGGTTATACAGTTATAGCTTTCAAATTCTCTTATTTAAAGGGCTACAACCAAAGCATGTTATTATTTAAGCAAGATTCGTAGAATGTCTTGTGTTGAATGTTAGAAAATGACTCATCAGAAACATTACTGAAATGTCAAATTTTATCCATTTTTGGTGGAAGAAGAGGGAATTCTCTAGGGAAAATTTAAGAATTACTTACTGCCTGTCTCTTCAATTGAGAGGATGTGGTAAAGAAGGCAGATGTTTTTCTCATCTCCACTCAATGAAATAGCACAACTCAACCCAACCCAAAGTAATGCCTTAAATCACCTATAGCATCTGATGAAAGGCAAGTTCTGGTGTGAGGAGAAACATGGCTGGTAAATATATTAAAGTTATGCTCAAACAACTAAACTAACAAAGGTTGAGGGAAGGGGTACCAATGAATCAATAGCTCAGAAAGAGCATGATATGGATTCTATGACTGTGGAAGCTCTTCCTACGTAACTTATTTAGTTTAACCAGAAATGCGGGGATAAGGTGATTCAACAAGGCCATGTGGCAGAATTCTCTTAAAAGCCTGGCTAAATGAATGTGGGGTGAAGGGCCAGATGATTTACTGAATCTGTGTATACTCTCCTCTATCACAGCCCACTGCAATAGCAGCTATGCAAGCTGTTAACATGACATTTGTGAACAATGGTTATCTGTGTATGTGTGTGTGTGTGGGGGGGGGGGGGGGGGGACTAGAACCAGATGGGTGGAACAATATGGAGGAGGGAAACTCATCACTATAATTTTCTATGTATTTTGGGAACTCTGAATTTATTACAAATAAAAATATTAACATTTGTCGATGTCATTGCCTTTTCTAGAGAGAACTTGTAGGATGCATAATTAGAGAAGATCTGGCAAAAGAATGCTGATAAGGAAGCCTACAAGGAAGAGGGGAGTAGAGAATAAAAGAGAAGGGTGGCAGCTTTTACCTAAGAACTGGTCTTGCTGTTTCTATTTCAACCTGAACAGCACCATCTGTAGTTGACAGGTGGAATGGTGAAAAATATACATCACTGGACCACAAAACTACAAAGGTCTAGAATGCAGAGGAGTAGTAACGGTTTCCTACCTAGACCAAAGCTGGGGTCCCCCCTCTTTAGCACCAGCACCTGTGTTTCTTTACTAACCTCCTGTTCTACCATTATGCAAGAAAGATGATGGCATGAGATGAGCCAGCCTTGAATGGAAGGTAAGATGTATGAAGAAATTGTGGAAGAGATTTTGAGTTCAAAGACTTATCAGTGGCCAAGCTCCAGACATCACTGCAAGAAAATGTGGTAATACTGCTTTAGTAAGATGTATCTGGCAGCAATATGCAATAGATAACAGATGGGAACCAGTCAGATAACTATAAAAGTCTAGGCATAAAGTCCCAAAAGGGAATGGTGTCGGCAAGGATGAGGAAATGGTGGATTCAGGACATGAGGGGAGCCAGGATTTAGGTTATCAAGCAAATCACAGAGTGTCTAGAAGTATAATGGTAGTATTGAGAAAACTGGATGACTTTGGAAGGTGTTTTTTTTTTAATCAATGATGCATTCTTTTCATACACATTAAGTTTAAAGTGACAGTGGCCATTTCAGGCAGACATACCACAGGCAGGCAGACACACATACAAATTTGTACTGACTCCCCCTGCAACCTGCTGGAAACTTATCCTTTTCATCTGACCTTCAAGGCCCTCTGAACCCAACCCCTATTATTCTCTTCAAACTTCTATATTTCTGTTCTGTAGTCACTCTATGACAATCGACATATAGATTGATACATATGTATGTGTGAGTATATATCTTGTTTAACAAGCATTTTCATATACATGTTCATCTTCACAGCAGTTATATATACAATAAATGGTGATGATACCCCTATTTTATACTAAAACTTGGAAA